TAATTCTTGTGGCCTGGTTTGCTGAGAGATCTGTCTGACATATCTGGACCCTGAACAACCTCATGAGGCTCTGGGGCCCTGCCCCAAATCCTTAGGCTAATCTAGATATGTTATTATCCACTTTGCAAGCTTAGAAAATGATAGCCAAAAACCCTGCAATGATCAGAACTGAAGCATGGATTATCTGGATAGATTTCTTTCTGGGTAAGGCCTGCTTTTGGCATGGAAACAGCCTTGGTTGCACTGTATGATGACCAGTGCCAGGAGAGTGAAAGGGAGAATGCGAGCCTGTTGATACTCCTGGACCTCTCAGCTGCTTTTGATACCATCAGCAAAGGGATCCTTCTGGGGTGACAGTCTGAGCTGGGAGTGAGGGCTACTGCATTACTGCAGTGGTTCTATTCCTACTTTGGAGGGTTGTCTGCGGAAGGTGGTGCTTGGTGAATCTCGTTCAACCCTTTTGGTTCTATATCATGAATGACTGACATCAGTGTTCAGGGAACTGTTTTGTCCCCCATGCTATTTTACATCTACGTGAAACCACTGAGTGGGGTCATCCAGAGTTGTGGAGTGCATTTTCATCAGCATGCTAATGCCAGAACTGCATGCCATTTCTGCCTTTGTCAGCAGGTAAGGCTGTGGACATGGTAAACTGGTGCCTGGCTGCAACAATGGACTTGATGAGAATAAACAAACTGAAGCTCAATCCAGATAAGACTGAGACTGTTGGTGGGTGGGTCCTCTGACCAAATGGAGTATGTTCAACCTCTTTTTTGAGGTTATGCTTCCCTTGAAGGAGCACGATCATACCTTGGGTATTCAACATTGTCACTTGAGGCTCAGGTGATCTTAGTGCCTCGGAGTGCCATCTACCAGCTTTGACTGCTGGCCTGACTATGCCTCCCTATCTGGACAGGAATAACCTGGTTTCAGTAATCTACACCCTGGTCTTCTCTAAATTAAATTACTGGAATATACTCTGTGTGGAGCTGCCCTTTAAGACTGTTCAGAAGCTGCAGCTTGTGCAGAATCAGCACCCAGATTAAGAACTGGAACTCGTAGGTCCAAACAAATACGACAAGTTCTGGCCTACTGGCGTTGGCTGCCTGTATGTTTCTGGGCCCAATTCAGGTTGCTAGTTTTAATCTAGAAAGCCTTGCATACTTTGGCACCACAGTACCTGTTCAGAGTGCCTCTACCAAGTGTGATTTACTCAGACACTGTGTTGAGCTTCTGGGGCTTTGCTCTGAGTGCCATATCTGAGGCAGACTCAACGGGTAGCAACAAGGAAGATGACTTTTTCTGTGATGGCCCCCGATCTATGGAACAGTCTCCCCACTGTGGCCCACCTGATGCCAACCTTGCCTTCTTTTCAGGACCTGTCTTTCAGGTTAAGAGACCTTATACCAAAACTTTAAAAGATTAACTTGGCTACCCAGGGATTTGGGGGAATTACCTATCCTAGGTGTTTTTCTTTTAAAGGGTTATTTTCTACATGACTGTAAATGTTTTAGCTGTTTAAAATTTGCAAAAATTGATTTTGCAGTATTTTATTGTACTTTTTCATCTTGTTTTTATGGATTGTTGTAAACTGCCCAAAGAGCTTTGGATATGGAGCAGTACAGAAATGAAAATAAATAAATAAATACCGTTCTGCAAACAGCATCATCGTTGAACCTTTCAATATTGTGGTGACTATTTTGCATTATGATCTACAGAGCCCTACTGAAGGTACCATTCCATACCAGTGAAAAGCACAGTTTCAGGTTTCTTTCAATGTGCCTTAATCATGGGATGCCTGTACCAGGGAAGGTGAAGAAGTATTTCTTTTTAACTCTCAACTTACCCCTAGCACCCCACTGCCTCCATTGGGATTATTGGAATGGTTATTCCTGGTATGAAAAGTGAATTTTGTTTGTTTCACTCCTTTTCCAATAATGTGAAACTCTGTTCATTGACAGTTCTGACAGAAAGACAAAAAATGGGTTCTAGATCAAATCAAGCCAGAGCTTTCCCTGAAGCAAAAATGACAAAACTGAGGCTCTCATACTTTGGACGGATCATGAGAACTCAAGCCTCACTGGAGAAGGCGATTGCATTAGGGAAATTTGGAGGCAGAAGATGAAAAGGAAGACTAAAAATGAGATGGACTGCATTCATCACAGAAGCCACAGCATTGAACTTGGAGCCGAGCAGTCATGGAGAGGACATTTTGGAGGATTTTCATTCCCATAAATTAGAAATGACTTGATGGCACATAACAAACACACAAACATGGGCACAAATAAAATTGTTCAAATTTCACTCTGGAAACAGATCACAGGTTGCTGTAGGGACAAACCCACAATCAAGCATTTACTTTCTTATTCAATTCACTAACTTAAAAATTGCATCTTTGAATGGTCTGGGCTATATTACTAAATCACACACACTGTTATGGAAAGAAGATCCAATATTAAAATGCTCCAAGAGACCCATCTTGGAGTTCAAAAATTATAATCCACTTGACTCAAGGTGATCGATATTGCATGCACTGGGTTGTCATCAAAAGAACAAGTAGTTGCTGTAATGCTCACTCTGTGACGCATGTGGACGCTTCATTTTTTTGGAACAGTACTCTTGCAGATTGCTATTTGCTAAGTCTCCTTTTCTGCCCAAAAGATTTTTGTTATGATAGACAAGCTTGAGGCCTTGGAACATATTAAAACATGCAATGATGGGTGGAGACATGAATGCTATTCTTAATTGCAAGTTGCATAGAAGTATTAGTGTACCTGACCACTGAAGGCATGTGGTGCCCTGAAAAACTTCCCTGATAAACATGGTTTTGCTGACTCATGGTGATTATTACAAAGGAATTTGTGCTACTTCTTTATAAGGCATTGCACTCATGGATATACCTCCTCTTTGTATAGGCCACTCTTGCCAGGTGTTACTTGTACTGCATAGGTCTAATTAATATCTCTGATCATTGATCTTAAGCACGTTAGCTATAGCAAGCCATTTATATGAAGATGGAACACAAGTCTGCTTACAAAATAGCCCTTCAAAAAGAAAATTGTTGAGGGCATACTAAATGTTTATGCTAACAATTGACTTGCCACAGGCTCCACCAGCCTTCTGTGGGGCACATTGCAGGCTGTTTCATGGTGGCTGTTCCTTTAGGATGATCCAGCTCTAAAAAAAGAGAGAGGTGGGGAGAGAAATGCAAAATGAATTTGATTCTTTTGATGAACACAAAGGAATGAGAAGAAAAAAACACGGTTATGCAAATTTAGTGGCTAAACAAGCATAATTTAAAGCTCTTGGGATTGGCAAGATAAAACTGCTCTAATCTACATATACCATAATTATTATTTGGTAACAAGTGAATAAAGTGACCCTCAAAGGCTATGACCCTCAAACAAAGGCATGCTAGAACAGCAATCAACAAAAATTGGAGCAATAACAATCAATCCCATGGTTATTAGCAAAACCCTAGTGGAATTCTATACCACTCCACACATTGGAACACCCTAATCCAGCAGTTCCCATGGGAAAATTTGGAAATTTAAGAAACTGCTGTGGGCACCACTACAAAATATCTCCCTTGAAGGATGTGGCTAGTCAAATAATAAGAACCAGTCAGTACAGGTTGTTGGCGAAGAAATAATAGTGACTCTAGTGGCTGGGGGAAGGAGGAGAGAAGGGAGAGAGATAGTAGGATGAAGGGGGAGTGAGAGAAAAAGCAAGGTTGGGACTAGGAAGGGAGAAAAAGAGGACGTTTAAGGCTGGAGAAGGGAAACATAGTGGGGAAAGGTTTCAGTGAGAGAAGTAGCAAGGCTAGATGCTGGGAGTGGAGAGAGAGGAGAGATCACAGAAGAAAAGTTTGGGTGGGCCAATGTGAAGGAAAGATTGGGTGGGCCCGGGAAGCAACTTTTTCCTTCTTTTCCCAAACAGCTGATCAGCAGCAGGTTAAAGAATAGGTAGAAGTTGGCACCCTACTGTTTTTGAAGTTCTTTAAAATTAAGAATTCAATATTAAAGGTAGAGCTTTGTGGGTGCAGTTGGAGGTCTTTGCAACTGTTGCACTTGGGACCCATGTCCCTAACAGTAGCTATAGTTCCCTCAGCTATAGATACCTTTATAAATTCCTTAGATATAAAAACAATTGAAGTCAGAGATCAATGCTTAACCAACTTATAAAGGAACAAGAATTCCCAAGCTTTAATAAACACCTGAACCTGGAAATATGCCCCAGCGTTAATGGTTTTACAAGGAAAATTTTTAAAGTTTTGTCATCTCAATCTCATTTTACAATCTTATTTAATGAAAGAAAAACGGGGAGAATGGTTGGCAGCATACCTATTGATTTGAAATACCCAGGCAAATAAAGCAAATAAAGCTAAGCAAATACTTACAAAAGTATTACATGACAGCAGAGATAATGCTAAAAAGCCTAAGAAAGCAGTTTAAGACTAAATTCCTGTACTTCACTTACCTGAGGGTAAATCCTATTGAACTTAATAGGACTTCAATTTGAGTAGGTACGCTTGAGATTGCACTGAGATTGGCCATGTTTGCATGTTATTTTAAGCTCGGATTCTTGACGTAATAAACCACAATGTGCATGTACGATGTGCTGTTACATGCACCCTGTTTCTTATTGCTTCGTTCCTCCCATGTGCACATAAATCAACCAGGCACAGATAGCTTGCTGTTATGTCCCCCCGACCCCATTGTGTCTTATTACAGCCAAACAGGATGATGTTCCAGGACAGCTTTGAACTGGGATTTGTTCTTGGTGTATTACTTCTTTGGTGCAATAAACTATAATCCTGAGTTTGGATATAAACCAAACTATCTCTGCCTGCTCTGTGTATGTGTTGGTGGGAGTGGTAAAGCAGGAGCATGTAACAATAATCTGCTTAAGCACGTTATAGTTGAAAAAGTCAGAATTCCTGGTTTGGAGTGATGTGTTTGTGTAGCCAACAGCTAATGTTTTATTGATGATGTTCCCAGCAGAAAAATCTCACATCAAAGAAGAAAGATGACTTTGAAGATATCTTGGAGGAGAGGCGGCAGTCCAGTGATGTCAGATATGCAATGAAATGCTACACTCCTGTTGTTTATAAAGAACTTTCTCCCTGCAAGCCAAGTGCCATTAAAACTATAGTCCTACAATCTGAGCATGTTCAGTATGTCATCAAACAGGTGAGTGAAACTTTGGTCTGATCTTCCTTCAATAGTTAATATATTTGAAACATCAGCAGGACTCTTGTTTACTGCCTAATGTAAAATAACTCTTTTCCAGTGATTAGGTTTTCCCTTTGTTTCCCCAGGATTTGTATTAGAGGTTCCTCCCATGAAATAATTGTTGATGTTATTTCCTATTCTCTGCTTGGCAGTTCACTAGGGAGGGGCTTTCCAGTTGAGGGAGACCTGTTGGATTTGCCTTTTGCTTGTTTTCTGTAGTTAAAAATTATTATATCATATTTATTTCCCAACTTTTTTCCTCTTGCAAGAAACCCAAGATGGTTTACATCTCCTCCACTCCATTTTTAGCCTCACAGTAAACCTGTGAGGTGGGTTAGGCTGAGATTAAGTGCACTGTACTGGCAGCCAAAGTCACCTAGTGAGTGTTATGGCCAAATGGGGAGTAGAACCTGGATCTCCCAGGTCTTCAATCCAACACTGTAAACACTTGACCTTAGCCAAAAGGCCGAGCAGTGATCCAACACTCTAAACGCTGCACCACACTGGCATAGTGTATTGTATTGTAGATTGTATATGTGGGGTATATATTTACCCCACATGTGTATTGTAGAGCTCAAAAAGTGTAGAAAAGGGTAACCGAAATTACCATGGGCTGGAGTCAGTCCCATATGGGCAAAGTTTACAGTGTTTGGTGGATTTAGTTCAGAAAAGCTGTGAATAAAGAGGGCATATGATAGAGGTGTATGAGGTTATGCAAGGTATGGAGAAAGTATACATAGAAAAGTGTTTTTTTCTCATCATACTAGAACCCTGATCATCTGAAAAAAGTAAATGGCAGCCACTATAATGCTGGTTGCTCGAGAACATGAGTGAAAGGGTGCTGTTTCTCTCATGTCCTACTTGTGAGCATCCCACAGGCCATTGTGTGAGCAAAATGCTGGACTAGATAGCCGTAGGTCTGAATCAGCATGGCTCTTCTGTGTTCTTAAAAAGTCATCAAAATGTTTTTATTCACTACTGCTATTATTCATTTGTAGCTATCAAAAGAGACAGGAGAATCACCTGATGTCATACAAGAAGAAGCAGTAGAAATTCTGGATGAGATGGGACATGGCATGCATATGGGAGCTATAAGGTTTTTTGCTTTCACACTGAGCAAAATATTTAAATGTCTTTTGAGAAGCATCTTTGTGAATGAAGATGGTATGCAGAAAGTAAGTATGCACATGACCATTTGCAGAAACAACTAGGGTTACATGCAAACACAATCGGGGTGAATTTTTGTGAGCATAGTGATTGTAGAAATTGAGTGACAGCCTTTGCAGTTTGAAATGCCAGCTGTTCCCCAACAGATCTTGCTGAGCTCTTGGATTGTGAAGCTACCCACAGTCAGGTAATTGTCCCACTATTGAGGCAATCACTGGGCAGTTGGAGGCTATTGTAGATCTTCATCTCAGGATATTGGCAAAAGTGCCCAGAGAGAAAAGCATCCATGAAGATTCTGACTAGGTTCACGGAACACAGGAACCATCATGGGTTGCCATGTTGTCCAAACCTAGAGTGTTTCTCTCAGGGTAGTTTGTGTTGGGGCAACAAGCCACCCTGAAAACCCATGGCTTGGTCTACCAGGGGTTGTTCAACTCATAGTGGATTGCTATGTCATCTGAACATAGAGGAGCAATTTCAGTGTGATTTATGGAGATCAGCTAGCAAGTCAGTTGGCAAAAACAACAAAACCCCCTTGCAACTCCTTTGCCACTATCTTGCCTGGGCTGCTGCTACTGTCAGCATTTTGAAGTAACTGCTATGTTTTTTTTGGCTCCAGAAAAAGAGATCAGCCATAAGGGACACTAAAATATCGGCTGATATCTTCCTAAGGGGAGAACTTAGTCATTTGTTGGGTGCACCATGGGTTGTTTTACAAGCAACCCACACTGCATAGCACATTAACAGGGTGGGTTGTCATGTTGTGCAAACTCACCTAGAGAGCTACAAATACAAGGAAATGTGGGAAAAACGGTTCTTGTAGTCATTATTTTTATGTACAGATATAAACAGATGTTAATGTGGGATTGGAACAAACTGCAAAATAACTACAAGTTAACAGTTTTAAAGAAAATTTATTCCTGTAGACCGTTGTGCATGTCATCAGATTTATGCAATTCTAAGCTCACTTCCTTGGAAGTGAGTTTCACCAAAATTCATGGGTGCTACTTCTAGGTAAGGCTACAGTCCTATGCCTTTACCACCATTAGCCGTGCTGCCCTTCTAGACAGGCTGGCTGGGTTGGGAGTTGGAGGCACTGCTTTATAGTGGTTCTGCTCTTACATGGCTGACCGTGTCAGAAGTTGATGCTTGTGGGGATAGTTGCTCTGCACCATAGTGTTTATGCCATGGAGTTCCACAGAGCACTATACTATGCCCCATGATTTTTAATAACTATATGAAACCACTGGGAGAGGTCCTCTGGCGTTTTGGGCTGAGACGTCAGCAGCAGATGTCGGCAGGTGAAGCAGTATTTGTTTTGAACAAGTGCCTGAACTCAGTAATGGACTGGATGAAGGCCAATAAACTGAAACTCAATCCAGGAAAGATGGGCGGTCAACCTTTCCTGGATGGAGTCACACCGCCCCCTCCAAAGGAGAGGGTCTGTAGCTTGGGGGTACTCCTGGACCCAGAAGTATCACTTGAGTCTCAGATGGACTCAATAGCAAAGAGTGGCTTCCTTCAGCTACGGCTGATGATACCAACTCCAGCCCTACCTGGAGAGACAGAGCCTGGCCATAGTTACCCATGCTCTGATGACATCCTGATTGGACTACCCTCTACATGGGGCTGCCTTTGATGATGGTCTGAACATGGTTCAGAATAAGATGCACAGTTGCTGCAAAAGCTAGTCTACATGCCCACATCACACCAATCTTATACCATCTGCTTTGACTACCAGTTGAGATCCAGGCCCAATTTAAAGTGCTTGTTTTGACATTTAAAGCCCTAAGCAGCTTGGGACTAGGATACCTGAAGGACTGCCTTTTCCCATATGTATCTGAGTCAGAGGCCCTTCTCAAAGAATCATTCTCCAAAGAGGTGAGAGGGATAGTAAATAGAAGGCAGGCCTTCTCAGTGGTTGCATCTCACCTCTGGAATAGGCTCCCCAAAGAAGTCCACCTGATGTCCACCTTTACTAGAAGTCCCCAAAAAAGTCCACCTTTACTAGCATTTTGGTGCTATTTGAAGACTGTTTTATTTTTCCAGATGTTTTCATAATTGATTTCCATTGTCACTTCTGTTTTGTGAAATTTTAAATTGATGTTTTAAGCTGCTATACTCTGTCCATATTGTTGTATTGTAGTATTTTATGGAATTATTTATGTTATTGTTGGTTTTAAGGAAATGTACACTGCCCAGAGAGCTCTAACAGGGCTGTAGGTGCTGTCTATACATTTAATTGATAAATAAATACTAGAGGGTAAATTCATTTTTGGAATGTACTTCTCTGTAAACATATTTAGGTGCGTCTTTAAACTTGTAAAGGTCTGACTTTCCAGGCCTTGCTTTTGCAACTTGCTGTGTAACACTATCATAAAATGAAAAAGCAACCAAAAAATCAGCTTAACAAATACTTTCAACAGTTGTTGAATTTATACTTGCTTAGGAATTTCAACTTCAATTTCCAAGCAAATAATTGTATTTTCCTCCTAACAAACATTTTGTTGCTATTGTGGTATGCCTTCAAGTCATCTCCAACTTATGACAACCCTATGAATTACCACCCTCCAAAGTTCCTGCCCTTGATAGTCCTCCTCGGTTTTTGTAAACTCAAGGCTATGACTTCCTTTATGGAATTGATTCAACTCATATTTGCTTTTCTTTTGCTATTGCTTTAAACTTTCCCTAGCGTTTTTGTCTTCTTCAGTCAGTCTTGCATTCTCATGAAGTGCTGAAAATATAACAGCTTCAGTTTCATCGTTTTTGCTTCCAGGAAAAGTCCTGACTTGGTTTAATCTAGAATCCACTTGTTCTTGTTTCTGACAGTTAAGGGAATTCACAAAACTCTCCTCTAGTACCATGTTTCAGATGCACCAATTTCCTTTCTGTCTGCTTTCATCACTGCTGTCTGCTTTCACATCCATTAATAATGATTGGGATCCTTATACTTGATGTTCTTTTCTAGTTTGTTCCTTGTTCTCCTTCCAAGTTTCAGTCATCTTTGATTTCTTGGCTGAAGTTTCCCTTTTAACTGATGATTGAGCCAAGGTACGCAATATTTCTCACAAGTTTGAATTCTTCATTGTCAACAATAAAGTTGTGCTGTAGTCATGATTTTTGTTTTCTTCATGTTCTTTGTTTTCTTCATGTTCAGCTGCAGGCCTGCTTTTGTGCTTTCTTCTTCCACTTTCATCAAGGGTTGCTTCATTTCATTGTGACTTTCTGCCAGTAATATGGTATTATCTGCATATCTTAATTTAGTGATGTATCTTCTGTCAGTTTCTACTCCTCCTTCCTCTGATCCTAATCGAGCGTTCCTTTGTCCAGGTGAAACAGATGGGGAGATAAAATACACACATGCCTGATGGCTTTGCCTAAAGGAAACCATTCTGTTTCACCATTTTCTTTCCTAATAGTTTCTTCCTGCCCACAATCCAAGTTATGCACCAGAACAATCAAATGCAGAGGCACACCATTTCTTTCAACATTATCCATAGCTTCGCATGATTCACACAGTTAAAGTCTTTGCTATAGTCAATAAAGCACACTCTGATCTTCTGAAATTCTTTGATGCCCTCCAATACGCAATGTATATTGGTGATATGATCTCAAGGGTCTCTTTCTTTCTGAACCATGCTTGAATGTCAGGCATTTCATCCTCTATATGTGAAATTCTTGGACCAGTTGAGTCTCTATGGCTTGCAATTACTCTGTTGGTACTCTGTCTGCTGTGGATGTTTTATTCCTTCCAAGTGCTTTCAGAGCAGCTTTTATTTCGTTTTCCAATATTGCAGGTTCTTTTTCATAGGATTTCTCTTGGAAGGAGTTGGTCATCTTTTTATCTCTTCTCTTCCCCATATTGTTTCTAACTTCTCTTTATTTTATCCTGGTCAGATAATAATAGTTCATTGTCACTATTTGCTACTGGTCTTGTTTTGATGACATCCATCTGAAGCTACTGGGAGAGGTCATTCAGAGTAATGAGGTGTGAGGCTGTGTCATTAGTACATAGCTCTGTCTCTTGATGTTGTTGAAATCGGGTGGGGCAGTTATCTGAAGTTGTCAGAGTTTTGTATGGGCTGTGTGAGGGCCAATAAATGGAAAGCAACCATAATAAGCGAGGTACTGTGGGTGGCATGTTCCCTAGTTCCGGAAGGGAGGATCCATCTTGTTTTGAATGTGAGTGTACTCTGTTTCAAATATCAGGTTTGCCTTTTGAGAGGGCTCCTTGGTTTAGCCTTGCCCCTTTCAGTTATAATTAAATCAGTACATAATGGTTTAACATTCAATATCATGTTTAAAAGAGATGGGGCAAAGATATGCCTTTAAAGCAAGCAGCAGAGGTGCACTAAAATAAAACTTGCTAATTATTCTTTGTTTCCTCCTCCTCTTGAGTTTTCAACCCATTTTCTCTTTCCCCCAAGTTATTTTACTGACATGAGCAAAAATCTAGGAATGTGGGCAGATATTTCCAGCATATTTGAATCAAACTTCAGCTTGCTTTTCCTTGTGTCACTATGTTGTATTGTGCTTCTGTAGTACCAAGAGAACAGAGGCCTTGCCTGAGGTGTTACCTTGGTCAGTCATTCTACTGCTTCATTGTTTCAACTCAGAGAAAAGATCATAGTGTTAATTATTACTGTTTCTGGAAGAAAAGCTAAGAACAAAGGTGCTTCTGTATGAACTCAGCTTGCACAGCATGACAAGCCTGCCATTGCTTAACTTACTTGTGGGGGTTATCACATTGCACCAAGCACTCTTGAGTAGCACATTTGCATGTTGCCTGGAGGTATCTGCCTTGTTGCCTTGCCTTGCATGTCATTCAGAACCAGACAGCAGAGGTTGTTTGAGGGTCAGACAACTTCCGTATGACCCATGGCTCGCTTCAGGGTTATTGAGTGTTGTCTGACTCTTCAAAAAGCCCTGCTGCCTGGCTTTGCGCAACGTGACAAGCCATGGTAACTTGGGTGCCATGCGAAAATGGGGCCTGCAGAAGCCTGGCATGGTGCAAGCAGCCCTGGTGGTAAATTAAGCCACGGTGGGCTGCCACTTGCTGTGCATCAGGGTCCCAGAGGTCTGTTTCTCCGGACTGGTTGGGCTTCAATTTCACAGCCGCTGAGAGAAATGTGTAAGGCATCCCAGCTCTGAGCTCGAGCCATTTTGGAGGAATCTGATAGTAAAGAAGTAAGTTACACTAAGACTGAGTAGCATACACATAATTTAAATTAGAAAAAGAAAGACAAACGTTGTGATCTAGACTGCCATCATACCTTCAGCCACTGTGCTTTCAACATATGGATTTAAATACAATGAAGCATGAATTTATTTACAAATTTCTGAATATATATTTTCATTTATATTCTGCGGGAGGAAAAAACCTGAAAACTGCAAAGGAGATATTAGTGTATAACTAAAATATTTTTAAGGGAACTCAGAGTCCTCAAATTTTGCAGCTATAAATAGCATTTTGTTCTTTTTTTTTAGTTACAACAGGCAATACAGGAATATCCAGTTGTCCTGCTACCCAGTCATCGAAGCTACATGGATTTTCTCTTGTTATCTTATGTGCTATACACCTATGACTTGGCTTTGCCTGTCATTGCTGCAGGAATCGGTAAAATTACAAAAAAATCTTTTTTTTCAATCTTTTTATTTGTTTTCTGAACCTACAATAGAAAGAAAAAAGGGGTATATAGGAAAAAAATAAGCCAAGGTTCTAAAGATTTAGCAAGCAACTCCTGATTTAAGCACATTTACAATGAACAAAAGTCTCTGTCTACCACTTTCCCATCCAACCCATTCAACTCTCAATCATATATTTATCCAGCCTGTGCAGTTAGTTATAGATCATAAAATTTTAAAACATAAAATTACACAATTCTGACAAGTGTAAGAGTGAATATTATGTTAGTATAAGCTGAGTTAGGGCCTTGGATCAGCCTGTTATAAATAAAATTGAGGCCTTTTTGGTATGTTCATTGTCTTTGTGTGCATGCAACCTGTCATGCGGTTTTGTATAGTGGGGGAGCTGTAAAATGTTTGAACAACATTTCAAGACAACTGAATGGAAGACCCTCTTGAGCTCATTCTATGAGGGGAAAGTTACCCATCTTCAAAAACTACTGGATTGCTTTGTTGGAGCCTGCCAATGATATTGCCCATATGGGGACTGCCCATTCAGATCTTCATGATGGCAGCCTTTTACACAGAGCAGGCTTTAAACATTAATCAGAAGAGTGACCCTGTGGCTCCTAGGCAGCATTGGGAGTGTGGGGCACAGGATACATTGAATCCCCAGTCCAAGGTCACAAAGAGAGCTGCAACCTTAGAGCTGAAAATCTGTGTTTCTCAGTTCCCACTCCCCTTCTCACTGTTGGCTTGGCCAACAGCTTCTTTGTCAAGGTGGGAAAATCAGCCTTGGAGAGTTGGTAAAGAAAACGGGTAGGGGAAGGACCTGGCGCCAGTGGGATACATGGCATCCTGGCCGTGCTCTAGTCTCCTTTGCTCTCCCTCTGAAGTGCCTCAACTAAAGGGCCAAACACAGACTTCACCTCTGCATTGGATATTCAAAAGCTTTTTGGTTTAGAGGCTTCTGAGCAACTACAGATAGGACTGAATCCAAATTCTCTTAAAGGCAGCTTGCCAAAATTAAAATGGAGCATAATTTTAATTAATAGTCTAGCATGACTGGGTTGAGACAACATGCTGCAGCTCATTGTGGTTGTTTAACAAATACTGAGCCAAATGCCTGCAGGTATCATTGTATATGCAGTCCTTGCTTGAGATTTGCCGCATTGCATGTACCCAGTGATTGTGGCTGTTGCACAGGTTAACCGGTCGTTGCAAAACCCTCAAACAGGCTATGAGTTGTTTAACCCTAACTTAATTTCTATTCGCCAGGTTCACATGACATGACAACCCTGGGTAAGGATTACATATTCAAAATGGAGGTACCACACACCTTGCCCATACTGAAGTCTGTCATGTGAACAGCTCGTCTATGTTCAAAATATGGCATCTTGATATAATTTGTTGGTATTCATGGTTAAATATTTTTGGAATTTGCTCCCTAAGTCTGTGCTGGCTTCCAAGCTACTTGCTGAATTAGATCTTATTTTCTAGACATTGATTGACTTTGTTACTCTGCATGATCTTCCTAGATTTCCTTGGAATGAAAATTGTTGGTGAACTGTTACGAAAATCAGGTGCCTTTTTTATGCGACGTACTTTTGGTGGAAACAAACTCTACTGGGCAGTGTTTGCTGAATATGTAAAAACTATGCTAAAGGTAAATAAATTTCAAATTGCCTGGAATTTTATGTTGAATTTCAAGACTGAGTATAGTGGCATTGCAAATTTATGTACACGTGTCTTATCAATTGGAGCCTTATCATTCATGTTTGCATTTGATTAATTTAACAACTTGTTTTGCTTGTCATTGGATTATTTGGTTCTTGCTTTTTGTCTTTTGCAGGTGCTACTTGAAAAGTACAAAATAAACTCAGGTTATTCATTTTAAATGAATGAATGAATAATATAACTCATTTGATTTTGCTGATTGTTAACTCTCAGTATGTTTTGTCCTGAAGGGTGGGTATGCTCCTGTTGAGTTTTATCTTGAAGGGACAAGAAGTCGCACTGCAAAGACTTTGACTCCAAAATTTGGTATGTTGATCAAAAAGTTAGACCCTTTGTAGAATTATGTGATTTATGTGAGGTAGGAAGTGAGCAATATGTATCACAAACTGTAAAAGCAGTTCATTTAATTTTTACATGAAGATTATGCATTAATTTTAAGATACAGATTCTTTTCTTCTTATAGGTCTCCTCAATATTGTGATGGATCCCTTCTTTAAAAGGGAGTTGTTTGACATTTACCTTGTACCAATCAGTATCAGTTATGAAAGGGTACTGGAAGAATCACTTTATGCACATGAACTTCTGGGAGTCCCTAAACCAAAAGAATCTACATCGGTAAGGAAGCAAGCTCGAATTGGCATGACTTGAATGTTGGATATTTCTCTGGGTTCAAAACCCTGCTTTTCCAGAAATTCATTGTAGCCTTGCTCAGGTATAATGCTAAGCCATGATTTTGCATTATGAGAGCAAGCCCAAGTGAGCCTTAGGCTCTGGGTTCCTTCCCCTTCTCCTTCACTGCAGTTGTACAGAAGAAATTGGAAGTTTTTGCTTCCATTTTAAATTAACTAAATTGACATGACATCTAAATCTGCTAAAAACAAGCAAATAAATTACTCATCTGCTTCATAAAATAGTTTATGAAGTTGGCTTTTTTCAACTTACTGTAGTTAAGATTATTCACAGTTATGGGTTTGGGCAATACCCTGAACTGTGATTAATCTAAAATAGAAGCAGAAACTTCTGATCTCTTCCTAGAGGTGCCAGAAAAGAAGATTGGAGAGAGTATGCAAGCTCTAGTCTTGCCACTGCTGATTTTCATAATGGAAAGGCAAATGCAGCCTCCATGTCTGCCTCAGTTTCTCTACTAGAAAATTGAAACAATAGTAACATACTGCATGGGAATGTTGTGAGGATGAATAGATTAAAACTGAGAACTACAGAAGTTATGCTGTAGTAATTAGGATAAAATAATAAATGTTACATATATACATATATCCCCACTGCTCAGTTACTTTTTAACTTTTACTCCATAGGGACTCTTGAAAGCCAGGAAAATTTTGAGTGAAGATTTTGGAAGTGTACATGTGTTCTTTGGACAACCTGTATCACTCAGAACCTTGGCAGCTGGGAGAATCAATATATGTCCATTCAACCTGGTTCCAAGGTATTAAAATGTGTGCCTTTTCTGGCTTATGAGCAAGATTGGCATGATCACAATATGCTGGATGTGGTTTTCCCTTTATATGCCATATCCAGTAATTACTGTCAGAGCAGTCAGACCAATCAATTCATTGGACCCCCTCTCCTGCCTTCAACATTGGCTAGATCTCATTGTTAAAGGGGTGCTTCAGCATAACAAAGCAAAGCAGTGGCTTGTCCGTTGTGGTGGATACAGTCATTTACACTCAAGGAATTACCGTATTTTTCGCTCTATAAGACGCGCCTGACCATAAGGCGCACCTAGTTTTTAGAGGAGGAAAACAAGAAAAAAAAATTCTGAATCAAATGGGCACATAATCACAGGCACATTCCCCATTACTTCCCCATGGGCTGCACATCTGACAGACTTACTGCACACACATATTCGCTCTATAAGACGCACAGACATTTCCCCTTACTTTTGAGGGGGGAAAATGTGCATCTTAAAGAGCAAAAAATACGGTACTTTTTTCCCATCTGTATCCATTTCATATGTGTTCATAAGTCTATTCCCTCTTGTTTCTTCTTCATGATCCACATGAAAATTTGTAAGTATTATGATAAAGCCTTTTACCCCAGAATTGAGAGACATGTGAAATTGGAATGAAGTGTATTTTGATCCACACATTAGTTTAGGAGATATGAATCAGGCTAGCTTGCTTCCAAATGCAAAGAAATCTTCAACTTTCCTAGGATTGCTGCCTAGCTCTCTTTTGTCCTGCTATGGGGAGCCTCTGCTGGAATCTGTTTCCTTCTGCCAACAGAAAGAGCTTTTCATTTCACAGACTGCAAGTCTGGATCCAACCCAAATTTTTCAACTGAAGTTGTCAGGTGTGAATTGGAAATACCTCTCCAGTAAGGGTCATGTTTCAGTATTGGTTTAAAGAGTCAAATTTTGGGCACTTTATCCTACAAGCATTCCCCATATTTCTATTATTTAAAATGTGTGCATGCACATGCATGTGTGTAATCTTTAATATACGCTAACATTTTCACCTGTGAAATATTTGCTCCCAAAATGGAAATGCCACAAAATCCATTTTGAAGTTAGAAGGAGTGCTCTATTTAACCCTTAACTTACTAAACAATGCATAGGACAATTGGCTTGGCTAGCAACTGAGCTGCTCTGGAATGGCAAGAAGTTTCTCTGCCAAAAAAAGGAGAACTCTCAGGTGGGTTCAAGGGAGCAAGCAAAACTGACCAAAATGCCAGATGCTCACTTTTAATGCCACTACTCTGGATGTTTTCTGTTAGACACATTCCCCAAAAGCCATCTGAGGAAATCCAAGAATTTGTCAGCGAGGTAGCTTACAAAATGGAGCTCCTCCAAATAGAAAACATGGTGCTGAGTCCATGGATATTGATTGCTGCTATCCTGCTCCAGAATTTACCAGCCATTGATTTTGAACTTCTGGTGGAAAAGACACTTTGGCTGAAAGGTTTAACTCAGACATTTGGAGGATTCCTTGACTGGCCTGGTATGCTTTGAATATTGTATATCATTCATTTCCTGGGGGCAGTGTAACTTGTCGTTCCTTGCACTTGTTTTAGGACTATAGAGGCTAAAGCTCCTGCTGTACAATTTCCTTTTACAGCCCCCAAACATCTCTGATTCTTCTAAAGTAATGCATGAGCACAGGATGGGATTATATAATTATAGTTCATTGTGGGCATAAGAACACATTCTTACAATCTTTTGTAAGTGACTTGTGGCCTCATTAGGACCCTGTCATTGAGGGAACTTATCCCACCTGAGTTCAGACGTTAATATTATCAGGTAAAGAGATGTAATGGAGGTCTGCTTCTGCCTCTCCTAGCAGCCAAACAGGTGAGGGACTGGAATGAGTCAGTTCCAGGAAAGGCAAATCTGACCTGGAATAATAAATAGAAAACCGAAACCCCTGCAATTTGTCATTCTCATGACCCATTGATTGTTTACTACATAAAGGTTCATAAAGGCTAAAGTAATAAATGTTACAGCAGCCTTTGCTAGTTGAATGCACTCCAGTGACAGGAGTTTTAGCCCAACCATCTGGAGGGCACTACAGTGGGGGATACAGTTACTAAAAATTTAAAATTGACTCACAAGGATACTTGTGTTAACTACTGAGGTCTAAACTAAGCATAGATTTGCACTTGCTTAAGACAGATGGGAATATATTATTCTAACCTTAGAGATTCTTGTATTGTTACAAGATTAGCATAACCCGTCTTCCATTTTCTTCATCCATTTATAATGATCTGTCAACTTTCATCCTCCCTATGCTTTCCTAAACATGTCAAGTTGTGGAAGGAGTAGGAGGGGACAGCAGCCAAGGTCTGCTTCCAGGCTGTTCTAGCATCGCCAGTGTCAGCCCTGAGGAATACAGGGAATACAGGAATAAAAAGTGACAATTCCCAGATTCTTCATTAGCATCAGAGGATCCAAGTATGTTCTGAAGCCTTTATTTTACACAGTTGGAAACTTTAGGGAAAGCATTTGCTAATTCTTGTGGCTGTTGTTTTTCTTCCTCTTCCTGCTCAACAACTGTGTAAGTCTGGGAAAGTGTGGTGAAATGAAAGGGGTTCCTTCTGAGCTTCTTTTTTCTTTTTGAGAATTCACAAGAGAAAGTTTAGCTTTTCATGAGATTTGCCAAATAGGTTTAGAAAGGCATAGCCCATTGTGAATCAGAATGTCAGATTCTGCCCATCAGTATTTGAAACCATTCAACTCTCTTGTGAGATACCTTTACTTGATATTCTCACTGCAAAAAAGGCAAAAAAAAAAAAAAAAACAAAGCTTGAAAATGGAGAGGAGTGGTTGTTGATTTCCAGTGGTGCGATATGAAAAAACATGAATGTCAGGAAGACCCTTGGAATCATTGGATGTTCTATCTCCCTGAAACAAAGATCAAAGATATAACGAATATTACCAATGCTCATACAGTCTACTGATACACAACTCACTTACACACATCCCTTCCTTCTCATATATGTGGAAACTAATGGCACTGCCAGTAGGAGTTGTACGGAAAGTACATCAGACTTGAAAACTTGAGAGAAAAGATTAAGAACATTGGGATCCAGATAGTTTTCTTCTCAATCTTTCCAGTTCATGAAACAGGAAAAGTTTGCCAAAATAATTCCTGGCTATGATGATGGTGCAGCCATGAGAGATTTGGATTCTGGAACCACGGGCTAAACTTCCTGGAAGATAGACTGCTGCCAAGCGGTAGATTATACCTTGCAAGAAAGGAAAGGATGTATTTGAAGAAATCTATCAGGAGGGCTTTATACTGAGTTCTACAGGATAGAATGTTGTACATCTTGGGGCAACATCATCTGACAAAGGATTATTCACTGCAACAGTGAAAGAAATCTAGCTGAGCCTAAAGCGTCTCCCAAAAATGTAGGAAAGAATTCAGGGAATAATGCATGTGGCCATACACTATTGCCCAAAGTGTGGGAAATGAACAACATGAACTTGAACTCTTAATGCACGCGGGTAAATATGACCTGATAGGCATAACTGAAACTTGGTAGAATGGCTCCTATGAATGGAATTCAAAAATTGCAGAATATAACCTGTTGCAGGATATAACCTGAGATCTTATTAAATCTCAAAAAGGAGGTGTAATTGTGCGTTATGCTAAAGAAACGTATCTCTGTGAAGAAATACAGGAAGGGACTAGTAATCCCATCAAGTGTATCTGGATTAATATAAACAGAAAAAGGAATAAAAGGAACATAGTAGTTGGACTTTATTATCATCTCCCCAATCAAAGAGAGGATAAAGATGAAGTTTTCAAAAAAATGCATTGCCAGTATTTCAAGGAGGCATGTTGTCACTATGGGGGACTTCAATTCCCCTGACACCTATTTGGAGTCAAATTCTGCCAAACATGAACCTTCTGAGTGATTCCTAATGTGTTGCTGATAACTTCCTCCAGCAGAAAGAAGAAAAAGAAGTATGGCTTTACTTGTTCTCATTCTAACCAACAGGAAGACATAGTGGACAAAGTATCAACTACAAGAATTCTGGGGGAAAGTGACAATGCCTTACCTGAATTCTCAATAATAAAGGAAGCTAAAACTCTCAGAACTCTCTGTCATCTTTGAGAATTAATGGAGGACACGGGAAGTGGCAGATGACTGGAGAAGGGCTACTGTTTTCCCTATCTATAAGAAAGAAAAAAAGATGAACCTGGGAAACTATAGACCAGTTAGTCTGACATCAATCCCTCAGTGGAAACATTCAGAAAGTGAACAGTCATCTGAATGGGACGGTATAACTTAGGATCCTGCAATGGCAGGGGGTTGGACCTGATGTCCTTCTGGCCCCTTCCAACTTTACTGTTCTTTGATTCTATGAAAAGAGAAAGAAATGTTTGATATATTTTATTTATAGATTTTCTTATTGTTCTTATTTATTTTTCTTTTTACTAGATAATCTCTGTGCCAACAAAGCAGTAAGATCTGCCCTTGCTCTACACTCTAATATTACCAGCTTTGTCAATGGACAAGTGGTTCTCTGTGTCAAAGAAATAGGACCTACTGCTTCAGAGGAGATAGTCTTTAAACAAGCCCTTTCTATACTCCTGTGTGGGTCATACAGGAACCAACTGCTTAATCTCTTTGTGCGACCAGCCCTAGTAGCCCTTGCAGTGGAAAGGACACATTCTTCCAGAAAAGGTAAATTTGCTTTTTTCCTGAATCATTGCACATCTGAAAATTAAACCATATATTCCTTCCCTTGTTCAGCTTTGTTATTTCCTAAGTAGAAATAACATGTGTGGAAACTTTGATTCTGTTCTCTCATTCCTTGGCCTTCAGTTTCTACACATGGTGAGACTGGGAGAAGCCTGGATGAGCTACCAAATGCAAAAGCATATAAAGAGTCATTTGTGCATGCAAATCTATCTATGAGCTGGATTTAGAGTGTATCTCTGGGTTCAGTGGAGCTCATTGTAGGCTCATTTAACAAACCTGTGTTGAGATGAGATGCAGTGTCAATAGGCCTCAGGTGGCATGTTTAAAATGGTGGCCACAGAAATCCTTCATGTGTTGCTGCCTCATCATAGGTGGACTGTCATGTCATGTGAACAGCTGTGTTCTTCCTCCTTTCCTCATCTCCCTAGTTGAACTAGGTTAGAAGGGGACAAGTTATTAAGTTAAAAAGTTCAGTATGCTAATTGAGTATCCTGTTATGCATGCAAACTAGTTTAGGATAAATAAAATAGGATGCTTACATGAACTGGCAGTTCATGATGAAGATGCCAGTAGCCCCTGGTGCTTTAGTAGGTTCCCTTCCTGTGTCCTAACTAATTTAGGCTGCAGACTTGATTACTTCTAATGTTCGTTAGTCCAGCTATGAATCGGATTTCAGACTTCGTTTAGCAAATAGAAATTCTGCAGTAGCTGTTTGTCAAAGAGGAAGGTGCTCATATTGGCTGGTTTTATTGCATAATTCTTCACTGAGGTTAACCACAAACCATCAGCAGCAGTTGTGCTTGTGTGGAACTCCATTTTATTACAGCAGAGTTTATGGATGAAGAGCTTCTGATGAATTGTGCCTGCCATTTTCAAGTGATTCCAGCACTAATGTGTACATGTTCAATTTTTCCATCATCAATTGAAATACATTGATCTTTTAAACAAATAGCATCTTGCAGACTTCATATTTTAAGAGAAAAAGATTTTGAAGAAAGGTCTTGTTAATGAATTATTAAACAATTTTTTTCCAGATGAAGTCTATGGCAATTTTACTTTCTGGCTTGATGTTTTTTCTGATGAGTTTATCATCTTACCTGGAATTCCCCTGAAGGTAAAGTTTTCTGGGTGTTCCTGATCTTTTAATATCTGTAGGAATTGCTAGTAGATTTCATTAGTGTCAAGAGTACCCACTAGAAAGGAGGAATAGGATCTTGGGGACTAATAGCTAATCATGTTTGTTAAGTAACTTAACTGTTCCAATTTACAGTAATGTATTTGGAAATCTTTTTAAAAAGTATATTTTAATGGGTAGAAAATATAAACAAAACCCAAGAACCTTTAACAATTTTTGTGGGGTGAGGGAGCTTCTTGTATTAGAGGTTCTGAGCTAGTTAACACACTGAAACAGAAAGATAATTTGAAGAAGGTGGCATCTTCTCTTCCCACTCCCCCCCCCAAGAAAAAAATTACCCCAAACCTTTCTAAATTTTATTTTTGAAAATGTACAAACATTGCAGCAAAGAATAATACAGCAGTCAGGACTGATAGGCCTTGCTAATAGTGATAAAAATAATGATTTGAGAAATCATCATTTCCAAATAAGGAACTGAAGGCACTGTTAGGTATACCCATGCACAAAGAACCAACAGCCACTACCTGAACTGCAGGGAGATTATAGGTTTTCACACAGAATGGAAAAGTTTTCTTTGGTCAGAGGCTGGACTCAGGATCCGTATAGAAGGTGCACTTGCCTCCTGATTGAATTTATATTCAGCTGGCACTTGGAGGTATCACAGAATAATAAGAAAACGAGTCTTCAAGAGTATTTGGAGTAGTTCATCTTGTGTTTTGATCTCATTGAACTGATAGGTGAGGACATTTCAGTATTGAATAACTTCTCCCACCTGTTCATTTAATTTGTCAATTGAAAGGTATCCCCCTCTAGTTAGCTGGCTAGTTGGTGGCATGTCTATTAGGTTGGCATTTCTGTATCTTCTTTGCTTGCAATGAAACACTCCCTTTAATTAAACTGAGAATTATATGCATCACCTGGCTCTTAATAATGCAACATTCCTGCCAGCTATACAGTCCAGGCCTTCTGGAACAAAATAGATGACAAAGTAATGTCCAATAAATCCTCTTAGGAACAGAGGCAGCATGACTCAAACTCCTATGTGAAAATTCTGTCCCCACTCGATTTTGCTTAGTAGGGCCTTGCTGCTTTTAACTGATGATTGGCAAACTTACCCCAAGCCAGTTTGTTGCTTACTCAGAAAATAATGAAATCAGCCATGTAGTCCTTGTAAGCAGTCTCTTGTATGTGCAGGATATCAGAGTGTAGCTTCAGAGCTTCCTGAAAGCCTGAACCACAGTAGCAGAAGGAAGGCTGAGAGAGGTTGCTAAGGAGATTGTGAGCTGAGTAAGAATTGAAGGCAGGGGAATGCTACTGAGCTGTCTTCCTTCTCTCAGAGCCAGAGCATTAGTAGTGAACACAATCAGATTAGGCAAGGAAAAGGTTAATCCAACCAATGCATTGCATGCAAAGAAATGGTACTTTGCATGCAATGGTTTAGCTACAAATTGACTGGATTCAGAAACATGACAAGCCAAGGTAATTTTTTTTACCATTGTTGGGAGTGTCATTTTGCTCAAAACTGAGTCATGGTATTGCACCATGGTATGTTTGGTCTTTCAAAACCATGATAAGCAACAACAATTATGTTGACAAGACAGTACATTGAGAATAATTTTTTAAATTTATTTGATTGTTTTTGACAATCAGCTCAAACTGGTTGTGATGATGCTTCAGTTAAGTCACATTAAAAAAAAATAATTATAAAAGCCCATGAAATGAATATTTTCAACTACTCTGTCTCTTCAAAGTTCAGGTTCTTCCCAGTAAAATAGCTCAGGCATGCTTGGTCTTGTAATAATTCTGAGTGCTTGGTTCCAAAATGCTTGAGCAGAGTCACTTCTATTGTCAAATCCCTGCCTCCTGATGCAGCTTGCAAAATGTAAAAATCACTCTGCTGCACAACAATAATTTGCAGTTATCTGACAGTACAAATTGAGAGTTGCTTGCTGGGAACAAATATTCCTGTGGAATGATCACTTTGGTTTGAAGGTTCAGGGTATGTATGATGTAGAAGTGGCTTACTTGATGAAAACTCTCAAACAGTGTGGATTCATTTAAATCAAAGTAGATTTAAATCATGTGTGAGATTGGAAACTTTCGTGACCATTTTTGATGAATTACAGGTTCACTAAAGCTCTACTGTGGTTTACATCCAAAACCTAGTGTGGTTAAAAAACCTACTTCATATACAATGGATTAGAATATACAATTCTAGAGTGTCTACCTGAATTACTTGGCAGCTTATAAAAACAAAAAAAATTGAAGTTGACTGGTTTAAAGAAAGTATAGCTGAAGTTAATCATGAAAACTGCCAGTCACCACCTTCTGGATGCTCTGGAGTTGGGTAGGGCTGGAGCATGTGAGTCCAAGCCTTTCTGCAAGTTCTTTATGGTCACAATCAACATTTATCATGAGATTTGAACCTGTATGAATTCCAGACAGTTAGCCATGAAAGTCTGTTGAAACAATGATAATTATTTGGTGGCTCCTTAAGGAGTAAAGCATTGCTTAAGGTTTCATTCACCAAAATCCTATCCACAGAAATAGGTTGTGTCATCCTTGTTTGGCACACACTTGCTTCATTTGGGGACATGCAAACAATTGTATAGGATGCATAGAGGCTGGCAATGGCGAGCTCATTACAGAAGGTTAATTGTTCTTCATTTGGTGTTTATGCATGCATCTTGCTTTGTCAATTCATTACAGTGTAGGGGTTGGTCATGCCCATCCTGATTGGACTGTTCAGTCTTTGGATCGGAATTCTTCACTCTGCATAGTATTATAAGTCACCTGTCCCTTCCATTGCTGGGCCTTTGGCCTCATTCTGCAATACTATACTCTCAGAATGCTTCAGTCATTTCGTGAAGCTTACTCAGGCCCACGGTTTATTTCTTGGTTTTGTATGGTGTTATCAGAATCTTAGTTGCTTTTGTGAATATACAGGATATAACAAGTTTTGGAAAATTTTTCAAATATGAGGTTAGAAATGGAGTCAGGTCAAGCTGGAAATATCTGTGTAGTTCATACCTTTTTATTTCTAATCTAAAATTTGCTTGCATTAACAGTAGTGAAACAGAAACAGAAAAATCAGTATTATCTATAGACTTTGTTGAGTAATAGTACTGCACTAGTGAAGGAGCACTATGTTGAAAAACAGGTTTTGATTTGAAATTGCATAACCAGACTCCATTTCCGCCTTATCAAGTGTGTGTACATTTTAATGGTATTCTAGTGCTTTAACCTACCATAGATTGTTAAAAACAGTCTGTACTTTTCCAGGGTAGTAAATACTACCCCAACTTTTATCCCAGTTACTAAAACAACATTTTAATGGGAAGCTATTTAGATAAAGTTAGTAGTAGAATCATTTTAGTTACATTATGCCTGTTTATGATATTTCATTATGTTGTTGTTTGATTAAATCCATTAAGAAAAAAATAACCAATTTTGTTTAACCCATAGGATTTTGAAGAAGGTTGTTACTTGCTTACAAAATGTGATGCAGTTCAACTCACTCCCCAGCAAATCTTTGTTACAGAGAAAGGAAGCACTGTCATCTCTTTCTTAATAGCAATGTTCAGGCCTTTTGTGGAAGGTTACCAGGTAAAAAAATTAATGGCAAAACTATTTTCACCAGTCTTCGTTCCATTAATTTTGTGGGGAGCAATATTAACAAATGGTCAGTGAGATATGATAGTACTGGGATTGTGTTTAAGATATTTTAAAGAGCGTATTCCTTTTTTATAATTCCAGTAGTTCACTCTTTAAAACAATCTTGAAGTTCAACCTTAAATAAGATTTCAGCCTTTTACTGATAATAAATAAATACTGCAATAAAACCTGAAGCTCAAACACATCCATAGCAGCATCAGATTATATGTTTTATGGCCTGGGAAATGACAGCACCATCACTGGATGCAAGATGCTTAACCTGTGCTGTATAGTATGGTATTCCGGCTGAAGGAACAGGTCTATAGCTTGGGGCTTCTCCTGGAGTCATCGTTGTCACTTGGGGTTCCTGTGACCTGAGTGACATGGAGTGCCTTCTATCTGTTTCAATTGCTGTCCCAGCCTCATTCCTATCTAGACAAGGATATCCTGCCTTCACTAGTCTATGCTCTGGTAACCTTCAAGTCAGATTCCTGCAGTATGCTGTTTGTGGCACTGCCTCTGAAGATGGTTCAGAAGCTGCAGCTTGTGCAAAATGCAACAGAATACTAGCATGGGTCAGAAGGTCTGAACATATACTGCCAATGCTGCACCACTTGCATTGGCTGCCATTATATTTCTGGAACTGTATGTAGCCCAATATAGACAGGCTAGTCTTGTCCTATTGAGCCTTGTTTACCTTGGGACTGCAATTGTCATCAATTGTCATCTGATGCCCTTCTCCAAATTCCTCCAAGGGTGCCCCCCCCCCCCCAATTATGGAATGCTCCTCATAGTGAGATCTGCTTGATGTCAATATTGTCAATGTTTCTGTGGCAGGTTAAGACTACTTATTAAAACAAAAAACAAGACTTCTCAGGCAGCTTATGGTAAAGCTTTTTGACAGGATCTGGGATCTGTATTCTTGAGTCTTTAAAACTGTTTTTATATTTCTGTATGTTAGTGGTTTCATATTAAATTATTAGATTGTATGCTTAGGGTTTTGATATCTGTAAACTTCCCAGGGAACTTTGCCTATTGGGCAGTATAGAAATAAAATGAATGAATGAATCTAGGTGCCCAGATGAACTTCTTCTGTGGGAAGCATTCCAGAGTCTGGGTACCTCTGTGGAAAACATCCTCTACCCAGAGGCACCCAGAGAAGGAAATCCAAATATGAGGTTAGGTAGTTTCATGTGAACAGAGATAATCCTTTAGATATCTGTATCCTAAACTGTTTATGGTTTTGGAGGTTAAACAGAGGAGGTTAAAACATTGCACGGGTAAGCTAACTAGCTTGTGAACAAAAGAAAAACAACGTATCCCCTTTTTTGTGGAGTTCCATCTTCTGATTAAGCTGGTATTTAAAATATAACCAGGAAGTTGCTTTTATTCTTCCTAGTATATAATTTATTCAATGATGTAAAAATGAATTAATAAGCTGAGATTTGTATTACCTGTGGAAAGAAACTCCTGTGTACTGCCTGTGGGCTCCCATATCCTTGTGCCACAAGAAATGCCCCCTGCCCTCAATTCCATATTGCTTTGAAAACTTAGGGGATTTTCAAAAGTGTGCCAGGATATAGTATAGGGAATTTGTCGTTCAAAGAACAAGAAAGAATCCCACTGGCACTGGCTAAACCTGTGAAGTGTCTTCTTAGAACCCAGTTCAAATCTTTAAAATACCGTGAAGTACTTTTCAGCTTAGATGATCTTTTGTGAACTTTCCTTCTCAGTGGATTGCTTATAAAAGAACTCTGAACATTTTGTAACGTCCTTAGTAAAACAAATATTTAATGTTATTCTTAGATAATCTGCAAATACCTTTCCAAAGAAGCAAATGAGGTCTTTACTGAGAAACAGTTTATATTTGGAGTACGAAGCTTTGCTTCTCAGCTTCTTGAAACAGGTGTGTGGTCTTTGAACAGTGCAATTTTTGTGTATTTTAACTCTTGGCTGTGCAGACTACATTTTAATAGCTCCCTTTCCTTTTGTTTAGGAAGTACACAGTGTTATGAGGTCCTGTCTTCAGATATGCAGAAAAATGCTTTGGCAGCTCTTGTGCGACTAGGCGTTGTGGCAAGAATGAAAATGTGAGTACCTCTTTGGAACTCAAAGAAAAAGTGAGAATGATACCCAACTTCCAATGATACCCAACTTATACGAAAAAGTGTATAAGGTCTATTAAAATAATATAAACTTTCAATACAAGATGCCAAGCACAAAACACCTTCATAAACAACAGTGTTAAAGAAGTATCCACTGTAGTTCGCTGTCTCATCTGATGGAAGGCTCTTCCAGTGCTTCTGTCAGTGGACTAGGGAGAGAGATGATCTTCATACATCTCCACTGCTCCTTCCAGCTCCTCACACTACTTCCCTCATCGTTTTGAAGTGTCCCCCAAGCCTCTGGGGCAGCTGTGACTGATATAGCTTTCACTAGATAGACATCAACTGTGGGTATAGCCCAGTAAATTCTTAGAAATAAAACCAATAAAATACCAAATTTAAAAGCAAATGATGCAACATGACATAATAAAATATAATTAGTTTTAGCCAGGTAATTTTCCAATTAATTTGGTCCCATAAGCAAAATCAGTCTGAACCCAATGATCAATGGCTGTGTTGCTGCTAAAACTGACTTTGGCTTTGCACAGTTTCTGTGGAGGCATGTGAGTGACGGGACTACCACTGAGAAGCTTTCTGATTATTGCTGTCTGATATGTATGTGCAGATGGCGAATTGATCTAACTTACGTGATGAGACTGAGCCCAAGATACTTAAGCCTTGGCTGGTCAAAACCAGAACATAGTGGCCACTTGCTTTGCAGGTAGCAAGTGGCCACTGTGGTTCGTTTGTGCAATCAGCGCATTGTAATGTAGTCTGTCTGCCATATAAAGCAGAATGTGGATGTTGCATCAGTTGCAATTTATTTCAATCACTGGCTGCAGCTCCAAAGGCAGCACAGGAATGAATGATGGTTACTGTTTCTACATCTGGGGCTTTGATCCCACATCTGCCTGCCACTAGTGGAATGGTGCAGTAAATCTAATGCTTCTTTTATTTAAACATATGTTTTTGCAATGTCTAATCGATGTTCCTTTTTGGGAGCAAGGTATTGCACAGGAAAAAAATTTGTACTGGAACAGTTTTTAATTTTCACTGATGTACACACTCCTGTTTCATGGAAATTAACAAACGATCAGTATGAATGGCTTTCTGTACCCTCTGACCATGAAAACTCTGGGATTGCAACAGTGAAGAGAAACTCTCACATTTTACAATGCAGTGGACTGAGGACCTTGTAACACTTTCAGATTTGAATGGGTGGCATAGATATCACCTTCAAGTGGTTATCTGGCCCATTTTGTGAAAGACTTTGAATAACTGTTAGAAAGTTGTATGCGTTTATACAAATCTGTATTTCTAGTAAAATGTTTTTAGTTGAGTGGTTTTTTAAAACTCTATGTGCCTGCAGGCTGCATGTTGGGTACCCCTTTGTGGGAACTGCACTGGAGATGCTTGAAAGAATGTGTAACTCACAACATGGGCTGATCTGGTTATTATTTGAGGGATATATATGGATAACATGAAAACTGAAGATCAGGAAGAGCCTTGAAAAATGCATCTGAAAGTAATTCTGTCACTGTATTTGAGACTCACACTAGCAAACTGGATCAGCCCTGTTGAGCAGCAGAGAGAGCAATGTTATCCCAGATCTTTAAAATTAGTAGCAAATATTTCCTGCAGGTAGATTGGGTGAGTAAACCATCTGTAGACAAAACTCTATCTACAGAAAATTGTTTCCCTGATACTCCATTGCTGCTGTCAAGTGCATAGATGAAACCAGTCCTACTCATTTTAAGTAGTTCTGCATTAATCCAATGATTACTGTGATGGTAACCAAGGATAACATCAGCACTTTCTGACCCAAATATACAACAGCAATGAGAGAGACAACACTGTAATATGGTTCTGCATGCTGCCATAAAATTATTAGACAATCATTTTTCTATTTATAGTACGTGGTTTTGAACTGTCTTCTGGATTGCAATCACTAATTGCTTTTGCTATCAATTCTTCCTTTCAAAATGGATAACTAAAAACTGGCATCCCAAACCGTTGGTCAGTAACTTTGGTAAGCTGAAAGAATATTGGCAGCTCTTTTTCATGTCAGCATTTTCAGCGGAATTTTTCAAAGTTTAATTATTTTTCTTAATTATTCCTAAGAAGGAGGACTTCTTGGAATGTCAGCTGAAGTTTAAAACTGATGGCAAAGAAAGAATTGCTGTAGTGTTGTTCACATGCTCAAAATGGTATTGTTTGTTTCATATTTCTTTGGGAATTGAGAATTAGAAGATGATATGGTTTACTTCTTGTTCTTTCTTTCCCAGGGCTGATGGATTCACTTACAGTGTAAGTAAAGAGGCTCTGAGTAATACTGCAGGAATGTTTGGTAAGTGTCCTTGTTAATGGATGGAGTTCTTGAAATCTGATCTTTTCCCAAAGATTCAGGACCTTAGGTAGCATGCTTGCACTTGTCCATCTATACGTTTTGAATGACCACATGTCTCATATGACTCTGAATATTTCTTCAATACATATTTGTTTCTATTTTTAGTAGTTTCCATCTGTCCTTCTATACTTGAGTGAAACTTTGGCACCTTGTGTTGCCACACTGACTGTTTTAATTAGATGGATGCTTTGTTCTTTTTAAAAAGCGAGCAAAATACTTTAAATGTTTCACAAATAAATGCAGAACTAAGATACAGATTACTATGTATTGCATGTGGATTTTTACAAAGCAGTTTTGACTATGCTCTTTACTAATACCAGCCTGATTGCCTTATTTCAGCAATGTGTGCTCTGCCTCCCTCCCTCCCTCCCTCCGTGTGTGTGTGTGTGTGTGTGCGCGCGCGCGCGTGCGTGTTCTGCCTAGTAGGGGACTGCATTAAGTAGCTTCATTTGCACAAAATGATAAACCAGGATTCTGGAATGAGCTGAGTGCTGATGCACACAGCCTGTTTGGCTCTTGTTCCTAGGATGAAAGATGTAACAAACCCGGAGTGGAATCTTGGTTTATTGTTACCAAATAACCTGGTGTTCATAAGTCAAGAACAGCCCCTGACTTAAGACCCTGGCCTATTTGGAAGTGACAAAACAGGCTACCTGCACCAGCAAACAGCTCATTCACAATAAGTCAGTGAATGTATACAAATATGTTAGATCTTTTAATCGCATTATTAACTAATGAGTAGAGTTATTTTGCCCTAATGAAGCTAAAAGGTTCCCATGTGCTCCCCATGGCCTTTCCTAATAGAAAGTATGTGTAAACTAGTCATCACCAGGGTCCCAGGAGCTTTGAATGGATTATCCTTCCAAAAAGAAAGAAATTCACTGGAGCCAGTCAGTGCTGATCCTATGCTATAAAGCTTTCAACCGCCTGGGTTACTTGAAAGATTACATCTTTCCCCATATTCCTACTTGGCCAAACTTCAGCAGATGGCCACCAAAGAAAGGGCCTTTCCAGAGATGGTGACACAATTGTAGAAACCTTCCCAGAGAAGCTTATCTAACAGCTACATTATGGCCCTTTAGCTACAAGGAGAAGACTCTTTTATTTTCCCAGACATTTTAAGATTAAGGCCATTTCAAGATTGCTTTTATGAACCTCAGTCTTCAAGGTGTTGCTGTGGGCATTTTTGTATTGTTCAGGACTGATAAAAAGAAGTACTTATTCACACAGCACATAGTTAAATTATGGAGTTCACTGACAATGGGTGATGGCTGGCAGTCTGAATGGCATCAAAAAGGGATTGGACAGATTCATGAGGTGGGAGGCTATCAGTGACCACTAGCCATGCTGGCTATTTTATTTCTAACCCATTAGCCACATGGATCCCTGGGTGGGTTACAAGAACGAAAACCATAAATACAACTATCTGCTACTTCCAGAGCTGGCATGCCTGCACATACACCAGCTGCTGTGGAGCTTGGGCAGGAGTTCTTGCTCCCGTCTTGCTTGTGGCCAGCTGGTTCACCATTGTGTGTATGTTATTTATCATATTTGTATGCCACCCCACAGCCAGAGGGTATTTGGAGTGCTGGACTAGATGGACCGTTGGTCTGATTTGGCATGACTTTTCTTATGTTGTTACTGGTTCTATTCAGTTGGTATAGTAGTGAGGGTTTTAATGCTAAATGCATTACTTAAATTTTGCAAATTGACTGGAGGACTATGTTGAGTTGGTGGTATCTAAGCGCTGAAAATGAGTTAAATAAGCACTTAAGTTATCTCACAATTTAATTGTGGTGTGTTTCTCTTCACTTAATATTATGTTACTTCTAGAACTGCTTTGCAAAATAATCTGCTTTCTAGTCTCTGTCTCAGAATTATGATGCTCTGCATTCCTGTTTTTCTAGAAACGAGGATACATGTACGGAAACCCTTGGCTGCAAGACTTTAAGCCAAAGCGGCTTGCCTTATGCACACTGCAACTGTGGAGAACAGTTAGAAGGCAGATGATGGAAAGAATGTGACTGCGGATACAGAACGCACTTGAAATGTTACTTCTGCACAATGGTGGAGAAAGAGCTGGAGCTGGAGCCAGAATGTTTTCATCTTCAGTTGACCTTTATCAGCATTGATTCTTTAGCATTATTTCTACACTTACATTCTCTTTAAGAAATATCACTCATCTCCTTCCTTCACCTGCATTTAATATTTGGCAAAATTACACAGTAACATTGAAATGTTTATCATAAGGAAATGGTTACTTTTATACTGTTATTTTGTTGTGAAAAAATAACTGAGAAACTAAGGGTGTAACATTAAAGGTATATTTAATTGAATACATTGATTGCCATTGTATTTATGAAGAGATTATTTATTCTCTTTCTGTCATGGAAGTGATTCCCAAAATTTGTCAATGCTGTAACTGATTTTTTTAAACTGTATATGTAACACTTTAAATATTAAAATAACAAAAGAATCATTTTTGCAGCTTTATTATGCAGACAACTGGTGTAATGTGCATTGTGTGGGATTTGGGGATTTGTTGTTGTTGTTAGTCGCAAAGTTGTGTCTGACCCATCGCGACCCCATGGACAACATTCCTCCAGGCCTTCCTGTCCTCCACCTTCTCCAGGAGTCTATCCAAGCTCATACCAACTGCTTCAGTGACTCCATGTAGCCACCTCATCCTCTGCCGCCCCTTCTTCTTTTGCCATCTATGGTTCCCAGCATTAGATTCTTCTCCAGGGACTCCTTCCTTCTCATTAGGTGGCCAAAGTATTTGAGTTTCATCTTCAGCATCTGGCCTTCTAAAGAGCAGTCAGGGTTGATCTCCTCTAGGACTAACCGGTTTGATCGCCTTGCGGTCCAAGGGGCTCGCAAGAGTCTTCTCCAGCACCACAATTCAAAGGCCTCAATCCTTTGGTGCTCAGCCTTCCTGATGGTCCAGCTTTCACAGCCATACATTGCAACTGGGAAAACCATAGCCTTGACTGTACACACTTTTGTTGGGAGGGTGATGTCTCTGCTTTTTAGTATGCTGTCTAGATTTGCCATAGCTTTCTTCCCCAGGAGCGTCTTTTAATTTCTTGGCTGCAGTTCCCATCTGCGGTGATCTTGGAGCTCAGGAAACTAAAATCTGTCACTACCTCCATTTCTTCCCCATCTATTTGCCAGGAAATGAGAGAACCGGATGCCATGATCTTAGTTTTCTTAATGTTGAGTTTCAAGCCAACTTTTGCGCTCTCCTCCTTCACCCGCATCAAGAGGCTCTTTAGTTCCTCTTCACTTTCTGCCATTCAGTGGTATCATCTGCATATCTGAGGTTTTTGTTATTTCTCCCAGCAATCTTAATTCCATCTGGTGATTCATCTAGCCCTACCTTTCTCATGATGTGCTCTGCATGTAAGTTAAATAGGCAGGGCATGGTGCCATCCTCATTTTTCGGCGCCAGGCGAAGACCTTTTTATTTAAACGTTATTTTGTTAATATTATTTTATTCTTTGGCCAGGGCGACTTAATTTATACTGTTAAATAAATAACATCATATAAAACAATATAATTTATGTATGTGAGCCACCCCGAGGCTTCGGCGAATGGGGCGGCATAGAAGTTCCCTAAATAAATACATAAATAAATAAACTTCTTTCTCAATTTTGAACCAAATCAGTGGTTCCGTGTCCAGTGCTCACTGTTGTTTCTTGACCCGCATATAGGTTTCTCAAGAGACAAATAAGATGGTCTGGTACTCCCATCTCTTCAAGAACTTGCCACAATTTGTTGTGATCCGCACAATCAAGGCTTTAGCATAGTCAATGAAGCAGAAGTAGATGTTTTTCTGGAACTGCCTAGCTTTCTCCATGATCCAGCGTATGTTGGCAATTCTAGTTCCTCTCCCTCTTCGAAATCCTGCCCGTACTTCTGGTACTTCTTGGTCCACATACTGCTGGAGCCTAGGGTTTATAAATACACACTGCCTGTTACATTCACGAATTGTTCGTTCTGTTTTACAAGCAAGTCTCGATTTTTCACTTAAACCACCTAAACCAGCTTCCTTGGCATGAATGCACATGAACGTCAATTTTTGCGGAACATTAGCCTGTGGAAAACGTTTGCCCTTCGAGAACAGCGTGCTTCCTTCTCAACTCATGCTGCAGTGGAATCCTCTAAGAATTCAAAGATCAAGGGCAGGGCTCCTATCCAGCGTTGCGTCTGAAAGCGGGTGGGGAGCGTGATACTGAAAATTGCGCAAGGAGACAGTGCTCGAGATAAGCTTTCCTTGCGTGGCGGGGGGGCCTTCGGAAGCACCCTAATCCTCTCCCGCCGTGGTAAAATAGCCCGATTTGGGAGAGCCCCGCGCGCCCGCCCACACGCAGGCGCGCGCCTGCCTCTCGCAAGGAGGCCAAAGGAGGCGACGGCGCTCCCCGCCCCTCTTGCGCGCCGCCGCGCCGCCAGGGGGCTGACGCCGCCCGCGGGACTCGGAGCTCGGGCGGCCTTCCGGGCCCCGGTCGCGTGGCTCGCCGCCGGGGAGGACATGGGCTCGCAGCGGGTCGAGCTGGGCTTCGTGGAGTCGGCGGCTGCTTGGCGGCTGCGCAGTGAGCAGTTCCCGTGCAAGGTCGGCGGGAGGCCGGCCTGGCTGGGCGAGGCTGCTTTGCCGGGCCCTGAGAAGCTGCGGTGCGGCGTGTGCGGGCGGCCCTGCGCCTTCCTGCTGCAGCTGTACGCGCCGTCGCCGGCCCGGCCCGACGCCTTCCACAGAAGCCTCTTCCTTTTCGGCTGCCGCCAGCCCGCTTGCTACCGCCCCGCCGGTCCCAGTCCCGGCTGCCTGAGGGGTAAGGAGACGCGTGCATCGCTCTGGCAAGTCTGCCTGCGATCGCGGCTCGGGAGCTCAGCGCGCTGCGGCCCTTTTGGACTACAGCTCCCATCAGCCCCAGGCAGCAAGTCAGGGATGAGGCGAACTGGAGGACGTCAGTCTCGTGTTAGAGCTCAAAATTATAATTTATCTTGTTGTATTTTATAGTTTTAATTGTTGCAGGCCAACCGAATAGCTTTAGCTATTGGGCAGTTTAGAAGTATAATAAAGTCACTAACAATAACCTTTTTTGGTCAGATAATGTTTGCTATGGTTAATAATTTACATGTGGGTGTGCTTCTCTCAAGTTTTTAGGAATCAGTTACCTCGGAAGAATGACACTTACTCTTTTGATCCACCTCCCGAAGAGCCACCACTGGAAGAACCGCCTTCCGTGAGTCTGCAGCTAAAATGTGGAGCAAAGCTGTGCAGAGTCTGCGGGTGTTTGGGTCCCAAAACTTGCTCTAAATGTCACAAGGTTCATTATTGTAGCAAAGACCATCAGCTTCTTGATTGGAAAGCAGGACATAAGGCATCATGCATGCAGCCAGGTAAGAGACTAAAATATGCTTGAATATAGAGTAAATAATATTTAAGGGCTGTATTAGACTTGCATGTGCGGGCCACTGAAGTTGTTGCACTTTTATTTTCATTGGCAACCAAATCCTGAAGGAGTTTCCAGCCACTGAAGTAGGCATAAGCAGAAACTGCCTCCTCTGCTGTGGTTAGTGGGGCTAAACCCAAATTGGAATGCTCTACTGTGTTTTGTATAGACACACTATGAAAAACTGGATGTTCACCAGATGTTTCCCGTGTCCTTAAAATTCTTGCCACCATCTGTACTAGAGTTGCGGGCAATGATTCGTGTCAGTCAACACATGGGAAGAAGTCATGTCACTGCAGGCAGGGTTCTGATGTTGTTCCTGCTCCTACAGGCAAGCAGGAGTTTGAAAAAATAAATTAAAATGTGGAGACATAGCAGCTGTGCCTTTAAAATGGAAGACTGCCATGCTCTTATCTCTTGTTGGCACCACATCTCCCAATGGTCTGTCAGTAAGCCAAGCAACTACTTCCTCCTCCTCTTTCGGTCACTGACTATCTTGTACTATCTGAAATTGTTTGATTGGGAAAATAGAGAGCATGTGAGCAAGAGACAGTGGAGACCTTCCTCCTGCTGCTCTTACACTCTTGCCTGTTATTTCAGGCTTTCCTGGTGAATGGAGGTGAAAACACAATAAGCAAAGATGCACAGCATCCTGCACTGAACAGTTCCTGAAGTGAGCAGAAATGCTACTTCTTATAATGGTGCTGCTCAGTGAAGCTTGCAGAAGGGAGCTCTTCTGATTTGTTCTGTGGCAGAAATGAGCTTTTCTGCTCAGCTTTGGCATTCCTCTAGAAAGTTCAAGATCCTGTTGAAGTCACAGTGGTCCATGAGCAATAGAACCAATAGACAGGTAGCAGCCATTAGTGCTCAGCATTGTCGTCGTCTCCTCCTCCTGTTTTAAACTAAGATAGAGAGGCTGGTTGATATTGATGCATGGAGAATTGCTTCCTTCCTTCTCCAGTCCCTCCTCTTAGTAGTTTCACAAAGGATGGAGGAGAAGGAAGAAAACACACATGCAGCTGGAGGGAGTTCAAGGTCCTTGAGCAGCTAGCCTACGGTATACAGTTGCACTTGTATATAAAGTTTCTCATGCATCAAACTAAAGTGACTGCAGTGCCAAAATTATTCTGCTGCTACTAATACTAATGTAAACTTAATACTAACATACATTTATACTTTTGAAAGCATTGGGAGGTAGGAACTGTCACATGTAGTATATAAAACTGATCCAGTATGATAATGGGCACTTTTCTATGTGAAATAAACAATGTAGCTGTGTTTTTACTGTGGCCTGTATTTAGTAATATAGCCCAGTGTATATTTGTTACTGGTTTTAATTTTTTCCCTCCTCCCCCAAGGAGAATATTTAAGAACAAGTTCAAGGTATAGTCAATATGTTTGGAGGTATCCAGTTATTCACTGCAAAACATCTTTGCTTCCCTGTCCTCCCACCCTGCAGAATTTAGATAAGGCTTTTTAGCCCATCTAGTGAGGGCACTTTAGAGTGGGAAGAAACTGGAAGAGGCTCTGGATAAATGTTCCGCTGGGCTCTCCAGTCTCTTCTGCTCCCCATTCAGCAGAATACTTCCAAGGTTACTTTTCTGACCATGGAAAGCAGCTGGTGTTTTTATTTTCTGTGCTGTGAGGTGCTGGGGTTTTGAATCTTAGACTTCTCTTCCAAGGCTGGACCACTGTCTCAGAAGGGGGAGATCTGAACAGTTCTGTGGTCCTTGGAACACTTACCCAGGGATCACAGAATTGCTGTCTTAACACTTGCCCAGTAGTCATAGGATTGCTCTGAATGTACAGGACAAAATGTGAATATGGAAAAAAAAATAACCCAATCATGTTGGGTTCACCTTTTGTAGATAAACCGAATGTTATGATTCCAGATCATAACTTTCTTTTCCCCGAGTATGAAATTGTAAGAGAGCCAGAAGAAGCAGACTCCTCCAGTGTCAGTGAAAGAGAGAATGAAGATCTGGAGAAAAATGAAGAGTCCACATTTGCAGATAATACATGTAAGAATTTTTTTCCATACTCGAAGTATTTTTAAGCTGTATGCCTACCGTTCATAAATAAGAGTAACCTAATGCAAATAGGAGTTGTGATCATGATAAATTTCCCAGTGTTGATACATCATTCTGCTAACCTGTATTCTTGCCCTGAGACATTTAAAATTAGTATGATCTTAGATTTGATTGGTGCAAAGTTGCTGTGAAAATGAAAATCTCCTTCTTAGCATGTTGTTCTGACTTACCTTTTGAATACTTACAGTTCAGGTTAATTGATAACAATGGAATTTACTCCTAGCTAAGTCTGTATCTGATTGCAACATTCAGGCAGCTTTTATGTTGAAGGACAGAAATCATATTATCTGAAAGTGAAGGTATCTTTTTAGACTGTCTTGAGCAAAGAATATGACTTGATGAGCTTTTACGATGCCAGCTAGAATTACAAGCTCTCCAATTATTTTGCATGTCTAAATAATTTTGCCACCTGTTTTCATTCTGGTGATTTTATTAGGCTAATTTGTTTAGGTTAAGATGTTTATTGTAATCCAGCTTGTGAGGGCTTGGCCATAATCAGCAATATGGGCATCCTATAAAAATAAACTCTTCTTAACCTAGTCTCAATACTAATAGAATGAAATATACTTCATACAAAGAAACCACTTATTTCAAAAGGCAGTGATGAAATCTAAGGTGCTGTTTAGACAAAAATGTCCTACAGTTCCCAGCATGCACCATCCTGCTATGCTGGCTGAGGCAAGCTGGAAGTTGTAGGTCTGTTTCTGCCTCAGAATGTATAGGACTGTATCCAGAGAAAGGTGGTTTTAAAGAAGGTGGTTTTGTTTGCGACTGCCATCTTGCAAACTGATTTTATTGTTGATTTAAACTTTTTGTAGCTCATATTTCAGGACAGTAACTTGTTCCAAACAGGCTGGGACACAAAAACCTGATAAAAATAAACTATTATTAATTTAAATATATATTTTTGTTTTTTCCTCCTAGATGAAACTTCTGAATCCCTAGATGAGAATTTCCTAGAAGCAATGGCAAAACATGAAACCCAAGATGACAAGTTTTTTCAAAAATTTAAAGAGAAAATATCTTTGGAACCAGAACAGGTTTTGAGAATGCAATTTTTGCAATCTCCCCTCTCCCTTGTTAATATTAGTGCTGGTGTTGATATAGTTTAGAATTCTGTTGGTGTGAATTCATTTTTGAACCACTAGGGCTTCATAACAGTGAAGTACTTGGGATGAGAGACAGAGGTTTAGTTCAAATGAACTGCTAGCAGAAATAGGAGAGGTTACAGGAATTTCCAAAATTGCAAGAAAAACTATAGTATCACTTTGTATTAAAAACAAAAATCCAAAACACAGTAGCAGAAGTGAGCGGTCTTAAACACGGCATGAAGAACCTTGCCAGGTAAGATAGAAGGCCCAATGAGTCGGGCATCTGGGAAGCAACAAACAACCTCTGCTGTTCTTACCTGGCAACTGGCATTCAGAGGATTGCAACCTCAGACTCTGATCCATATGACTCGTAGCAATTGAAAGCCTTATTCTTCATGTCTATACATGTGCTGTGTGAGGAACAGTATCTAGGAGAACAGTGGGATTTTCATGAATGGCCTAGGCCCCTTCTTTAATTTGGATCAGAAAGCAAGCAAGATTGAGGGCCTGCATGGCAGCTTTTCTCTTGGTATAAAAGAGCTAGAACAAACATGTTTAAAAATTTGTCTAACATCACAAATGGTTTCATTCAAAGCCATGTGTTACTAGAGCATGGATAACAGTGGCCAGACTGTATGTCCATGATGAGTCTTAGTTGGTGACAAGTATAAGTCATTCTGAAAGCAGTAGGATTCAATTTGGTGAAGACAACATTGCACCTGTGGGCTGTGGTAGGTTATTCCCTCTCTCAGCAAGCCAGGATTTTAAGTTTAATCTCTGCTGAATCCTGGCTGCTGCTTCCGTGCTCTGTTTTACTTTTTTACTACATTAAACCATTTTTATTCTTTATATAGATTGTCTTGTTACTCATGTCTTTGTTTTACAAACTAGAGTGGAAACATCGAAGAGAAACATTTATTATTGTTTTATTTCTATACCTCCTGTAGCCAAAGTTCTCTGGGTGGTTTACAACAAAGTATAAAAACAATAAAATACCATATACTATATAACACACTATATATTGCAACAGCATGAGTAAACTTTTGGACCACAGTTCAGAGAAAGTTGTTGGAAGTGTCCCTGAAATCAACAGCATTGAACTTGGTTGCAAATGACAGGTTTCACTTGTGTTAAAAGGACTGGAACACAAGTAACTTTCTCTGACCTTGGGCCTTTCTGTGTAGTTTAATCTCCAGCCTATGATTTCTATTGAATTTCAGGTTATCAGATACTGCAGAGATGGAGAAGGCCCCATCTGGATTTCAGGGGAAAATATTCCTGAGGAGACAGATATCCCCAACTGTTTGTGTGGTGGTAAAAGAGTATTTGAATTCCAGGTACAGAAATTTGGTTAAACTGTGTGCAACAATATTCATAAAAGATAGCAAAACAGAATTTTAAGAGTAGATGTGATGATCTGCTTTTTATAAATTCCAAGGTTAGGGTTGGGCTATCAGGATTGTCCAGAAGACACAGTAGCGAGGAATAATCAATATCCAATATAATCCTTTAAATTAGAAGCTTTTGACTAGGTAGCTTTTAGGCCTGTATTCCCAAGAGAAACCATGTAGTCTGTTCATGGCCTTGACAGATAAATTGGTATGCCTCATGGCCTGTACTGCATTCCTTAGATAAGAAATAGGACAGCTGGGTCATATCCACCTTCGTGTGTTTTCTAGAAAGCAGAGAGGCGGCTATAAAATCTGTAACCTAGTTAGGCAGCATTGGTTTCTGGTTGGGACCAGGAGTGCCCAGATACCCAGGCAACGCAGCACTCCCAGGGTGGACATGCATTGTACAAGGAAGCCCTGTGTGTGGAAGGGCCATATGTGTAAGCCCTGCTTTGCTTGCTCGTAATCTGTATCCTTATTCTGCCATTATATGCAGTCAAAACATTTAGCATCTGTAAAAAAAGTGTTTATGCTTCTTTCTTGATATCTTGAAGCTCAAGTAAGGTACCTTGGCTGGAACAGGCCCCTTAGGGTAAAATGGTGAGGTCTGAAGTCATAAGAAAGTCTCAGTCTGGCAGACCAACTGCATGTAGTCACCTTGAATTCCATGCTGGATAAAAGATAGAAATGTAGTAGATGGCACTAGGAATGCTTTTTAGTTTGCTAGTAAGGTTCTTTGCATCCTGGCTAAGGTCTGTATTATAGCTACCTTGAAGCCTAAATCTATGCATTTTAACTCCAAATGTTAGCTGAGGAAGATAATTGAATATTTACTATTCATTACAGTATAATATTACTGTAATCTTGGCCTTCTGCCCTGGAAAAGGAGTTGTGAATTACTGTGAACCTACAAAAGGATGTAGAAAAGCATTTAAATCTGTTCATATCACTTGCTTTCATTTTGGGTGGAAGCTTTTGAAGGATATAATAATGTAATCAATAAGCTTTCTAAATGGTCAGATAAATTTAATAGTAACTTAGCAGTTCTGATTGATCAACATGGTTGGAAAAAAACCTGTTGGGTATTTCTCAGGTTATGCCACAACTTCTGAATCACCTAAAAGTTGACAGCCTTGGAGAAAGCATTGACTGGGGAACACTGGCTATCTACACGTGTGCTGACAGCTGCAACTTTGGCAGCCAGTACACTGAAGAGTTCATCTGGAAGCAGAATATCTCCAGCTCTGCCTGATTTATACAAAATCTAAACAGCAGGATGCCTTTCTTCACTATGATTAAAAACCTCTTGCAAGCCTAGAACTGTTTATCATTGGAACATCTGCACTGAATGGCTGGACAAAAGAAATGGAACACTGTCATTAGTGACAAGATCAATCTCAGAGTACAAGCATGACTTTTAAAAAACATTTAATAAAACAGTTGCTTAAAGCTGAGATAAGACTAACATAATTACACTGTTGTAATTTGTAACACTCCTGTTTTGTTCACCCTGGCTTCTGGCTGACCAACAGTGACTTTCAGGCTATAACTCAGTCAGGAATCACACTTCTGTACCTTCGCCCTTACACAGAGGGAGGGACATGAAGGTTTTATTTCCATGTATAGAAAATACAAATCAAAGCTACCTACCCTGGTATCAGTAAAGACCAGGCATTATTAGTAGGGGCAGATGGTGGTTAAACCAGGGAATGAGGGTTAGGATTTGCAGAAGGGAAGAAAGCACAACAAAAATATAGAGGCATAGTATAGGTTAAATCAACTCATGAATGTCTAGGAGAATAGCAGCATTCCATTGTTTGTCACTTTCTAGATCAAACATTTTGAAACAATTGTACCCACATGGTGACAGGTAGAATGAATTGTGCATTCCATACCATCAGCAGCTGAAATGAAGCCCCTAGTTGCCTCTTGAAACTGAGGGCACAAACCTGTTCTTCCACCACCACATGGAGAGACTAAGCCTCAGCTGTTTATATACTGAACGTTTTAGAAGGTACTTAACACAATAATCACTGAAATGGCAAAACACATTGCTTTAATACTGGATTGTTAAGAAAAATCTTATAAAAACCAATTGAATACATTTAAGCTACAGGCATGCATTTAGCACATTAGAACAGCAGCAAAAGCAAACCAGAAGGATCACAGGTCTTACTATTCAGATTCAATTACCAAGTTTCATAAACAGCATTAATTATATTTAGAATACAGATTGCTTCTCAAAGTGATTACTATTTACAGCCATCTGTTTTTATTTAGCAAACTTCTGTCCTGCTGAACACTGGAAACAGGGAATGTGAAAAGAAAGTTAGACAGAATTAACATCTCTGGTTATAAAATCCATGGTTGAAACAATACTGTAACTGAAATGGTTTTAAGTGTTGAATAACAGTACAACTTGCCAACATAGGATTTCAATATAAAAAGATTACCCAGTAAAACAGTTTAAAAGCTAAAAAATATAAATAACTCAGTTTCTCCAAGGAGAGCTTGATGAAACAACTCACAGTAGTTCAGTATAGACATAACACAATGAGAGCTTCCCTTCCTATGACGATAAGGGAAATAGGCACTAACTGGAAAGTATTCCAAGTCCTGATGATGCAGTTTTCAAGTCTCTCTCCTTTTACTGCTATGCCATAATCAATACCTTTTAAAATGTGCCCCAACTTCCTGAATAAGCATAGGGAACTGTTACGTTGTTTTTTTAAATCCTTTCAAAATAGGATATATATTTTCAAATGCTTCATAAATTTCAGCTCTGACTTTTGCACCTAGAAGGAAATTTTTAAAAATTAACCATAGTGCTGCATTATAGAGAAGTATTAACCTCACTGATTTGTTATTTTTCTTACTATGTAGCAACATTTCATTTTTCTGGAAAGTGTTCACTCATCAAACCCCTTACAGGCTAGTACTGTAAATTCATAGTTCAGAAACACTAGAGAAAGTTCACTAATTATGACAATAAGTTAATACAACAGGCAAACAGTTAAATGCCAAGTACTATAGCCCACACATCAACCCAAACTAAAAATGCCAAGCTAACACATGAATTATCTAGATTTTTGTTAAAAGGATTTCTCCTTCAGAATTGCAATTTAAGTTTGTTAAGTACAGGAATTTCACACAACTTACCTGTTAAAACTACTTTCCCAGAAACAAATATGAGCAAGACAATTCTTGGCTTGATCATTCTGTATATTAAGCCAGGAAACAACTCTGGCTCATAACTGGAAGAAAGATTAACAGTAAGGTAAATTAAGTGAAACTGAAGCTAATGCAGGTTGATTAAGGGGCTTATTTAAGTGGATCAAGTGGAAACAAGCTTTCTTTTGACACACATTGCTGGTGTGTTATTAATGTTTCTTATTAATACCAAATCCTATTTTTGAGATACCAAAACAGATATTTCAATACAAACTTACATATACAAATGACACAATGTGGCTCAAGCTGCTAAGCTATCTCAAATTTGAACACATGTTTAAAAAAAAATATTTTCACCACCACTACTGGGTAGGGTAAATTACAGAGTTAACTTCTCCTCAGCTAGCAAGATTGGTTTGTCACTTCACTAAAAGATTTAAGCATGACCAGTCTTCCCACCCTCCCTTTGAAATGCAATTTTATATATAAATAATGCAATTTCTTCCACTGCTTGAGTGTTGTAAGTTGCCCAAAACTGTGTGCATTAGTAAAAATATACCTTGCACTGATTCATGTAATGCTCTACCTGCTTCTGTTTCTATTTCTCCTGCATAAGGTACTGTGTAGTTTTATTTTGCTTTTTCCATGATGCAGGGAGACCATGCTGTAAACTGGTAAAACCTCCAAATCGGTTTTTTTTTTACTTTGCCTTACTCTTTCTGGATGGTACACAAAGCATATAGATACAGAATTCCTTGCACTGCCTGATTAAAACAGTCCGTGTCTACATATCTGCACAGATGGGACAGTTCAGAATACAATGGAAAACATTAATTTATCATTAAGCAGCTCAGAAAGCATTCCTCTGGCTCTTAGACATTCTTTGGGGGGCTACAGGATATTGGGGAGGCAGCCCCACAACCAGCACTGAAAGAACTAGATAAGCTGCTTCTCCGAGGTCAGAAAAGTGACCAGGAGACAAGCTCTCCTAAGCCTCTTCCAGCTTGCTTCTCTCCCCATCCAAAGTACAGAAAGTCCCATCATTCCTCCTCCACTGGAATATTAGAAGCCCCCATCCCCAATTCACAGGGCTTCTGATCACTGAAAAAGTAATCAACAAGACCATACCCTCTGGCATGCTAAGTAGATAAACCAAATGACAGTTCCATTATTCACTTTGTTGGAATATTCACCATGTAACAATAGCAACGCTTTACATACCTGCTAAACTGCTGGTGAGTAAGAACCAACCCTTCAAGCCTGATAGGGAATTTTACATCACAGCTGCCCACCATATTCTGAATCTTAAAATCCAAGAATTTGGCTGGAAAGCCCAACTTCTGCACAACTCTAGCATACTTTCTGGCAGCCAGCCTGGACTGTTCCTCACTGAAAAGGTAAAAGAGGCAATTTTAATTTCACCAAGGAAATGCTTAGCAAATGGTGTACAATCAACATGCTTACCTGAAAAGCCCTGTCAAATGAAAATGCCAACTGCACTGAATATGAGGCAGAAGAAAGGAAAGCAAAACTTTGTCCTTACATACCTTTTAGCTCCTGTACACACCATTTTCCCAGAGCTGAATATGAGCGCTGTGGTACGTGGTTCTCTTATTCTCATAATCACAGCAGCAAACCGCTAAAACACACAGAACAAAGGCTATTACAAGAATCCTGAAACATATTAGCAAGCATCCTTTGAAGTTGCATTTATGACTTCCATGCTACAATTCACTCTTCAGTCACTTTACTATTAATGTCTATAGTTAATTATGATATTTTAGGAATTCAGTTATACAGTGTCCTTCCCCTTGCTATAGCAACCTCCTATTATACAACTCCTTTTATCCTTAAGCCAGCAGGGCCAAGGAGGGCACCTGGTTGGGAAAGGCTGGTATAAAATGTTTGCAACAGCCATCATTTCCACTTTAATTCAGAAATATTTTGCAGCCCATTTTCACTCTATCCCAGAAAAAACCATTCAATAACCTTATGGAAAATACTGCAAGGACCATACTTTCACACAAACTGATACATGTTTTATAACAGCAGGTTCTTCTTAAAAACATCTAATTTCCTGTTAGGTAACAGAACTATGACCAGTCTGTGCATAACAGAACAGAAATAGCAAGAATACCTCATCCCAGTGTGCAGGGCGAAGGGTTTTAGAAGCCAAAAACTCTCCTATACTGTTGAAAAACAGGATCATTCACCGTAAATGCTTTAAAACAAATCGGTAAACACTACAAAATGTGCTTCTGCATGGGCTAATGTGTAATGCTTCTTCCCTGTACCCTCATCTTTTTTAAAGTCATAACATAATATATTCTGCCTGCCTGCAACAAGTGCTGCCAGAGGGACAAATAGAAAGGAGTTAAAGGAAATATTCTACATACTGCACACAAGATTATTTTTGTCAAGAAGCGGTAAGAACATGCCTTTCAAAAATACTTTGCACTCACTAAAAGCTCAGCAAGTGACTTCAGTACCCTTTCTACAGGCTTTTCGCTACTAATTAATTTTTCCTATCTTTACTTTTAAAAGGTGGCAACTGTCATTCAACAGTGAACATTTGACCTAGTGGATTTGTCTACCTCCAACTAACAAACCATATTTGCACAGCAAATCTTGACCAGGCTGGATGTCTGTAACACTGCCCTTAAGGCTGCTGCTACAACTTCACAGATATTTTCTTGGAACAGTTCTTTACCAAGCATACAAATACATTTACTTTTCAATGGCAGTTAAGGATACACTGAAAGAGACTTGTTTATTTCCCCATTTTTCTACCAAAAAAAAGGGGGGGGGCATTCAGTGTTGGAGTCAAATGAACCAAAGTACAAAGTAATTAGCACTGACCAGTGGAAGAATCTGTTACCTCTCCATTATCCCTTACCTTGGGATTGTATTCAGCATTTCGAGCACGAAGGGCAATAGTTTTTAAGTCAAGTTTGCAACCAAGATTTACTGTAGACACAATATTCCTGAAGGCAATAAAGATAGGTTAGATAAGATAGGATTCCTCCTTATCTTGTAGTTATTCCCTCTTCAAATGCAGGTGCATTGAAGCAAGCAAGCGGAAGTGTTCAGACTATTTTGACCCATGAACTACTATTATAGGCATCCTACTGATTTTTTTATAGTGATTCTGAACATGTTACGTGAACTAAGCTAAAGGAAACAGAAACCAGAGGGATTCTTGTTCTTTGTTCTATTCATTTTAAAGAATTCTTACACAGTATTGACAATTAAGACAGTACAAGGATTCAGCCTACAATGTAGCCTCTAACACAGAAAGATTAGTTTACTTCTTCTAGTTTAATTATTCTAAGAGTTCCAAGTTGGTGCAATCCTTTATTGGATTCACAATCATAAAACAACAGGAATCTATTCAGCCCCATATGCAAGTACATTAAAAGTTTGTGGCAGCCTATATAGTCTACCTCTTACCTTGGGCTCCCACATTATCTAAGAATGGTCAAGAGCACCTGTGCACTAGTTCAAAACCCAGGCATGCAGAGCATTCTTTGAAGGCCACCTTGAAACTCAGGAGCTCCTTAACCACAAACATCTATTTAAGCCCCAAAGCCTTTTACAAATATGCAAGATACAATCTATTAAGTGGTTTCTGTCTACTAGTGTTTTAGACATTCCTCTTTAGCAGCTTAACTGATTAATTGACTGATCCAACCCAACCCAACCAAGAGACAAATTTGCTGGCCAAGATCAGTAAATAGCTTCCACACTATCTAAATGGCTGATACGAGCACAGGGCTCACATGGAGTAATTACAATGGTATTGAGAGATGGCAAGGGAGAGAATACACACTTACTGTAGCTGTGGTACAATTCCAGAACTTTCAGAAGCAGGTGTTGCTGGAGTTATAGGGGTCATGGGCGTCATAGGAGAAGGGTAGAGAGGTGTGGTTCCTGGTAAAGGAGCTGTGGTAACTGTCTGTGAGTGAAACAACTGTGGTGTTTGGCCAGTTGCCACTTGTGTTGGTTGTGTTGTGGACTGTTGTGCTGCCACCTGCTGCTGTTGCTGCCTTTGCTGCTCTTCCAGAATAGATAAACTGTTGGTGCTTTGAACAGGTTGGGGTGTGAGTCCTGTGCCGTAAGGCATCATGGGACTAAATATAGGGATGCCTGGAGTCATGGCACTCTGCAAAAGGGAAATACAATGAAAGACAACTCTAGATTGCTAACATGTTTTTAATGGTCATGAATAGAACAGCTGATACAGACATTTGCCAAGGAACCTCCAAATAAGCATGCATAGGATGTCGCTCTACTAGAATGAGTATCATCACCATAAGTATTTAGAAAGCCATTTAACACTTTACCTTATTTTGCTCTCTATTTCTATAGTAGGAATGATTTATTTACATTTGCAATCCTAGAATCAAGTTCCCAGTATTAAAGATACAGATCAAAATTAGTCATCCGTAATGCAATGGAATGTTTTTGAGTGTTTCCAAAACCATGGCTAGCCAAGATACCTTCCTCTCAAAATTCAAAGTGCAGATGCTCATCATGCTTGCATCCATAAATGCTGATTTTTAGAGCTGGTAAAAGAACGACTTGCTCTTTGAGAAACCCTTTTCTTCCATTTATTTCACTATCAACTTAGCTGTTTAGATTTACACCACAGTGATATCCCATGAAGGTACCCTGCGTCTCCTTGCATCATACTCTGAACCACTAGGTTCAGAATGTTGGGAAGTGGTTTAGGGAGTGTGGGAGAGAAATCAGGGGAGGAGACAGTGAGTTCAGTGATTTACTCATACCCAAGACCCAGCTAGAAAGAAGGGAAGAAATAGGATCCAGTGATTTTAGCCCCAGTTCTAGCCAAGGATTGAATTCCATATAATTAAATCCCAACATAACTCCTTCATTAGAGGAAGAAGACAAGAAAAACATTTTTACCAATAATTTAAGAAAGCTGTAGAATGCAAACATCACCCTATACATTTCAGTGATTTGTAAGCAGGCGGGAAAAGTTACATCCATCACTTAAGCAGCACTTTACATTTATCAGGATGGAAAGTAAGTTGGGGTACAAAGTAATTTGAAGCAAGAGTGGTAGGAAAGTTTATGCAGAAAAATCATAAATGAGAGGACAAAAGAAGTCAAGAGCCTATAACCCACGTAGTATTTCAGGCCTTTAACTAGGTAAATAATAGGCTTTAAAAGGCATCTCCCCTTCACCACAAACTCCCAAATTCACACGTCTTTACCTGAGGTGATGCTAAGCCCTGGGCATAGGGCGGTAAACTGTTGTTCTGATCCATGGCAGCAGTCACGTCTCTGTCAAATGAGAAGTATTTCTGGATTCCAGTCCACAAGAGCAGTCTCACACCATCTGCCTTAAAGGAGCCTCTTTCCCCAAAGTATTCCAACAACTGGCTATATAGTTACTCCAATCCTTGACATACTTGGAAGAACATCATCTACCAGGTGAGTAAAATTAGGATGCCAACCCTGAAAGCAAGAAACAGTTTCATGATATGCATGTTCTGCAGTAAAACTAGTAACATAAAACACTGCTGCATTGCACAGTCGCCCTTAAACTATTTTGGTATATGCCCCCTTCAGCATTGTATACATAAAACTTAAGGTTATTCACCCAAATAGCTCATCTAGGCCAGCTTACAAAATGCTATTGAGAACTAGTCCTACCAATCTGCACTGATAAATTTGCCTCCAGAACTCCAGCATATCATACTTAACAAAGCACTGCTCTTTGAAGTATGCACAAACTTCAACATTTAATGAGCACGTATTATCTACAGCACAGATAATACACATGATGAGAGTTATCCGGCCTTTCTTTCCAGGGGTCTATGGGAGGGAGAGTCATGCATTAGTGCAGCTTTCCAAACCAAACTACTGAGTTTGGAAGGAAGAGAAGTGCACCCATGTTATGAATTTTGGACTTTGCTGAGTATGAACAATCTATAGTTCTAGTATTTAAAAATAAAAAATACAACAACTCGAGAACTGGTTTGGCTTCTGTATACCTACTTATTGCTGACAGTGTGAAACAAAAGGCACACCAGAATTTATTTTGATTAAAGTTTAACACGTGTTTTTCTATTAACAGTTACTAAGGGAGAAACCTCTGGATCCATGTTCTTTTTCACTGTAAAAAATAGCACCTTCAAGAAAGTGCATAATATCAACTAATTTAAAAAGAAAAAAAATCTAAAGCGCAACATTGCTAAATATTAAGCTGTTAACAGTTTAACAAGAAATATATTTCATAAAAGGCTTGTTCTTTTCAATGTCTTCACAGGAGTAAGAAACCATCATGGGCCCAAGAACAGCATGTGGGGTTGGGTGGAAGGCCAGGGACTGCAGATGGGTGCACATGCACACATGTACACACTGTTCTGCCCCACTTGGATATTTGGGCATTTGTTTTACTTCCCCTAGGTTCTGTATTGATAACCACAATATATTAGCTTGCAAATGATCAGATCTTGTTATTATGCATCTCTTGTTTTTCTGCCTTGCCCACGCATCTCCTTCATTTTGCATTCATCCACATCATCCTTCTACAGTTAAGTATCAAACCTCCCTTGCCTGAAGCATTGCTGTGTCCCAGGCATTGCTGCACCTTACCCAGAGAGCTTCAGCTATTGGGCAGTACAGAAATGAAATAAATTAGCTCTTTACTGTTTATGTTGCATGGGTCTTAGGTTCTAAGACCTGAGTAATATAGAAGTGAACTGGAAGCTGGTTTAACTGTCTAGAGTCTAGACAGACATGCAGCCCCATGTTTGTGAACATGCACACACAACATTTTGCTGGGAAACAAGACATGCAAGGAGAGCAATCTCCACACACCTTGTTTCCCAGTAGCATTGGGCTCTTAGCAAACTCAGTCCTGTAAGTTCTAAAGGCAAAGAAGTCAACTCATTCCATAATTAGGGCATACTCCTGCAGTTTCTCTGTAAATATTACCCTAGGGCTAGTAATGTCTAGTCTCATAAATTAGAACTCACAGACTTAGCTCCTCCAAAACTCTCTTAACATCAAAACATACTAAGAACATTTAATCTTGTACCCTTCAGGCTAGAAGATTCCTTCTGTATTGTAACTCCTCATTCAAAATCCACTAATTAAACAAGTGTATAAATTCTATCAGAGATCTATAAATTAAGGGTTTGATATTTTAAACTCACACAGTATCTCATTCATTGACAAGCAATAACTGCAAGTACACTTTTGACCTTGAATACTACAATCCCACACATCTTCACTGGTCAGACAACGCCAGCAGTACAACCTGCAGTGGATATTATCTAGACCAGCTTGCCAGTTAGTTTTGTCTGTCAGCTACCCAGAATTCAATGTGAACATGCGTTTTTCTTCAATACAATCACTAGCTTTTTACTTATTTACATGTCCAAATAGTTACTGCTTGTTAAGCATTTTCATTTGACATCTTATAACAAGACATGAAATCTTGTTTTCAAGGGAGGTAACAGATTTTGCAATCCTTCAGCCCCTAGACAATGTCTGCGGACCCACAGGAGGTTTTAGATTCCCAGCTCTTTCCCACTCCTCCTCACAGCCAGTGTGGAAAGAGCTGGGACAGCTGCCTCTCAGAAGTCAAGAATGTAACCTTGGAGAGAGATAAAGGGTAGCAATTTGGCAGGCAAGAAGAGGAGGAAGCTGGAGAAGTCAGTATATGATCTATCCTGAGGCTTCTTCATTCACTTTTTCTCCCCCATCAAAAATACTTTTGCTAGACTACCAAAACAGCTCATCTAGTAAAAATGCTGAATATGAAGATGAGGTGGAAAAGAGTGCCTCCACTGCTTTTCTCACTGCACAGGACGCTCATGGGTCTCAGAGTTCAGAGGCTTCTAAGCATCAATGGTACAACCCATAGAACCTCACCCTTAGTTTTTCAAAGCTCTCCTAGCAGTTTCAGTAAAGCTAAGGCAGCCTCTGACCCTACAAACTCTGAGGATTACAGGCATCCTATGCAGGTGAGGAGAGCCATGGTGAAGATTGCTGCCATGCTCCTCTCTCCCTGCAAAGAAGCCAGACAGACATCTTCAGCCCTCTGGATTGCATCGGTTTGGAGGGGAGGGGAGGGGAGGGGAGGGGAGGGTAAAGAGGCTGAGACAAGTCTCCTTCCATTCCCCTCATCAGAAAATCCTCCAAGCCCCTTCCCCAGAGCCACTTTTCTGACCTCTTGGTTCTTTCTATGCCAGATACAAACAAGGGGGAGGTGTACCATGAACAAAACCCAAATTCAGAGGTCTGAGCTGTTTTCCAACCTCAGAGCTGTGAGTGCAAATGGCCCTGCTGACCCCTATTATTACTTAAGCCCCACAGGATCACCACACCTTTCTTTTAAAAACTGCAACACATAAAGATAGCAGACTTTGTTGCATTTCTGGCTCAATAACATGGCAATTTAAAGGATATTCATCTCTAAAAAAATCCAGGTGGCAGCACATAAGGTACATATTTCATATCCCATCCCTTCTTGTCAAGATACTCAAAAAAAAAGCACCATCTGTTAACCATCTTATCTAGGATACATAGAAAGCCAAAGCAAGGCATGCAAAAAGTATCTAATAACTCGCCTGGCAGTAAGTCCCAGGGAACTGGATGGAACTTATTTTTGTATAGACATGTACAGGACCATGCTGTTTACCTCACCCTGCCATGGGTGCTGCTCATAAGAAAGACTCTGTATGGGGATATTTTAAGGATACTGTCTCTAAAGTCAGAAGGGGAAAGCGTGCAGAATATCTGCAGTGAGACAAATTATGTAAATTTTGCATGATACTATAATATAAAAAAATAATCTAGCTACAAATTAACATGATTTAATGGTCACTTTTCCATCATCATTCAAGAAATGCAAAGTTTCAATGGAAAACTTTATATCAACCTTTGTTTCTGATTTACACTGCCTTGCTTTAACTTAATCCACCCCACAATGATCCAGCATGGCTAATGCTCATGCTGGAAAGGGATGGTGTGAAATGTAGTCCAGTGCAGAGTAGCAGGTTGGGGAAAACTTATGTAATATTGTTGCAGAAGAAGACATTAAGAACTAGCAAATTAAATAAACTGGGTTAAATCCAGCTCTGCACAAGCATACTTCTGCTTATCTAATAGGACTTTCACTTGTACCCTACTCTGCTACAGCTCTTCACCTGCCCCCCAAGCCTGGGTTTGGGTGCATGGAGACTCTAGGATGAAAATGAAATTCATTCTGCCAGTGTGCAGTCAGCACTTTATGCAATCTTTTGATTTAAACTACAGTCAAGGCTCAACTTTTGTGGGTTTAACTTGCACAGATTAGATTATTTGTGAGTTTGCCTTCAATAATTAAATTGGATTTTTTTTTAGTTTTGCAGTTTACTGTGGAAAATTTCAGATGACATACACAGACTAGAAAATGGGAAAAAATGGAAAAAGTCACAGTATTTGTCTTGGTACTAGCCAATCTCACTCATGAGTTCTGGATCTCTGTGTGCAGTATAAGTGTTTCTCATAACTTCTTGCATCTTTAATATGGAATAAAATGTTAATTGTAATAATGAGTCTAACCCTAACTTAATTTTTTGCAGAAGGAGAAACGAAATAGAACAAACAGAGTAAAATATTAAATTCTTAGGCCAGCTATTGTCAAATTAGAAGAGAACAATTTGGCCCGAATTACACTCAAGAGTTTTCACAGGAGTTAAATGTGAGACTGCTGATCTACTTAAAAAAATATGAAACTTGCTACTAAAATCAACCCCCTCACTGAAGAAGTAGAAAGCAGTCAAAACAATGTTGATAAAGGATCTGGAGAAGAGCGAAGAAGTTGCTACAAATCTAGTATCTATTCTTGGCAAATTGGTGGAAAGCATTATTTTGGATAGTAACAGTTAGAGATTTTTAGGAACATAATTGAAAATGAGACACCCCAAATTGTTACGAAAATCAACAGAATTACTAACTATAATCACTATGGCCAAAACTGTATGGGTTACACCCTCAACGACCCTAAGCCTCCTCCACACTCGGAGACTGATAAACATGGTTGGCAGGGCAGGGAGAGTGTCCTCCCATCCTGCATCTTTGTAAGATGGGCTTTTTGGGGCCCATCTTGCTGGGGCACAGCAGGGGGAGGGACAGAGGCTGGGGAGGCTTCAGGATAGTTTGTATTCTGGTCTCTCCAGTCTCTGCCCCCTCACTAAAATGGGCTGAATTCCTAAATTCAGACAGCAGCTGGTGCAGTTCCTTCTATGCTGGCTGTGAGGGGAAGAAGGCTGGAGTTTGAATTCTTGTCTCCAAGGCTGGAGCACTGTCTTTGATTAGGGAATCTGGAAAATCCTATATCCTAGGGCAGGGGTCGGCAACCCGTGTCTCCAGAGCCGCATGTGGCTCTTGAATCCCTCTGCTGCGGCTTGGTCGCCCGAGTTACAAAATACCAATAGGTGATGATGAAGCATTCACTCAGGAACGCTGCTAGCAGGTCAAGTAAATTGGACATTGAAGGGAAAGAGTGGAACAAGCTTCCTGCAGGCTCTCATGTTACACTAAAAGCTGCTGAAAAATTCTCTTTGTCCAAATGTAATCTCCTTCCTCTGAATGATAAAAGCTGCCCTTGGGACCTGTCACAAATCACATCACTTCACTATCTGCTAATCGGTCACTAAACACACCTACATCTGCACGTTTAATGACATCTAGGTAGATTCATTTGCTTTTACTGCTGATGAACTTATGGAATTTGCTGTTTAATGCATGCAGCCCTTTAGCACTGACTTTGACTCTGCAGGAAGCTGTTCTCCTATTCAAAATATATGAAAGGAGCCCTACTAGTTTATAATGCAAAATTAAAAATAACAGTTTTTAGTGACTGAACAAGAGCTGCAGCTAAATCATAATGAATATATACATAGCATTAAGGTAAAAAAAAGATATACGCAGTGTTATCTTCATTTTAGAAGTCAAAAGGGTTTTGCGGCTCCTGGTGTTTTGTTTGGGGAACAGGTCCAAATGGCTCTTTGAGTGTTAAAGGTTGCTGACCCCTGTCCTAGGGGAAACAGAAATGCTCCCTCTCTTCTAAAACTATTTTGCAAGACAATTTGGAAGCATTTGTATTGAGAGTAGTATCCCTTAGTAATTATTTGCTTATGTCTAGAAATGCTTTTGCTGCAAAGAGTGCAAAGTCCAATGTTATCTAGATGTAATGAATTGATCAGAATAATGTAACAAATAGTGCAGTAAAACAGAGAGAAGCAGAGAAATTTTAAGTGGTTTTGGTCAGACATCAGATTTGGCAAATCCAATGGGACTTATTCTGATGTGAGTTTGCATAAACCACTTACTGGGGAGTAAGTCCCATTGACCACATGACTTAAATACATAAATGCATAGGAATGCACTTTAAAAGGTGGAAGGCAAAGTACAACAATGTATGTTAGATATTGGAGACCTATCAGGGTGGATAAAAATCAATGATTTTTTTAAAAATTAAGATCAGATTTTTTTCATTCAAATTGGATTTTTAAAGTAAAATGCTTTTCAGGAAAAATCTATCTAACTATAGCTTTCTGTCCTGGACTGTATCTTATAGTCCAAGGGTTATTCGTCATGAAATAAGGATTAGCTTTTAATTATGTAGCATCAGGCTATATATTCATGCAATATTTTATTTTTTGGTAAATGAATTCCATTAATAAATTCACAATGTCATGCTCTTCAGAGCTTTCTATAAGATTACTGGGCAATTTTTATACCTATAAGGTATTATCACAGATGTTCTGCAGAAATCACATGCTGCTTCTTCATAGCAAAAAGGTTATAAAATAAACATATAGAGTTGGGGGAAAGACCTTAATTCCATTGTTCCTTTGCAAATCTATGTCCACAGAATTAACCCTTTATCTCTTAAGTACTAAGTTTCAAAAATGCAATGAATAGAAGTCGCTGGGAGTAGACTAGATCCCCACAAGAAGCTAACTGTGAGGAGAGAAGGGCAAGCAGTAAAAATGAAAATGAAACCTTTTGAGCGGAATACTCCACTAGTCTTTGGATCTCCTTGTATATAGTCTGAGGTTTATCATGTTATTTTTTCTCTGGAGGAGAAAACATATAATGGCAGCAGGCCATAAAAGAGACCCAGTATTTTAATGATGTTCTTCTGTCAACAGTCACAATACACAATTCCCATCATCTCACACTGACTGATTACCAACACAATCCTATATATGTTTAGACTAAAAGGTCCTACAACTCCCAATATTCTTCAGGCAGCATGTAAAATGGTAGGACTTTTTTTTCCAGCTGAAGCTTGCATAGAATTGTACCTTAAACTCTTGTTTCCTCTAGAAATACACACTAAAAGGCACCATCCAAACAGTATTATTTTTATGCCACAGACAAGAACTACACCAAGTGAACATTGTGGTATTACTAATTCAGTACCAAATATTTCAATATCATGCAAAAAAGAACAGAATTCCTGCCACTCTTCTACAGATATTGTGAAATTGTTAAGACAGTAAATGAAAAAGCATTAAAATCTATTTCCAAATTCAAGACGTTAGAATTAAATGCACAAAGTATGTGCATGCTTAGATGTCACATCTCTTTGCAAAATGTCTCCATTATGTACTGATAGTCTTCACCTAACCCAGCAAGCACAAGGAGCACACACTTGGATGCCATGACTCAGTTTCAAGACCAGCTGGCAATGTGGGGCTAGATGGACCAAGGGTTTGACTCAACTTCTTATATTCCCAACTTACATTGATCTTATAGATTTTAAGTTGAATTCATCTATATCTTTTGTGGATTGCGGCAGATCCTCAAATGCTCCTGGGTTCCAGATCTTAAATCTTCTCACGGGCAACTTCCTATTGCTGGGCTGATCCACAGAACGTCAGCTTGAACCAAAATAATGCAGACCCACCTAAGTCAGCAAAATGGTCCACGCCACGCTCCGTCGCTCCTTCTTGGAAAACTGTCTTGAATTTTCACGGGACCTGGGTAGCACCCAAATCGCAGAGAAGCCACTTCAAACTTACGGTGGTCAAGATTCTAGCCTAAGGAAGGACTACGCTCCCCGAATAGGCTTGAGGCGCTAAGTGGCGCAAGCACGCTTCCCTGAGCCCAAGTCTCGTTCAGGACAGCGGGGCTTACTGCCAAGTAAAGCTGCACAGGATCGGGTTCCGAGCGTCCCACATCCAGTGGCGGCGCAGAAACACCGGCGGGTATTTCTCACTGAGGAGGAACCACGTTAGCAAAAGAGAAAAACCCGAGAGGGGGCCGACGACGGAAGGATCTCCATCCTGCCCGCACAGCCAAAGGCAAAGAACCTCCCGCGCTTCCACTTGAGCGCCGGTGGGCGCGGCGAAAAGGGTGCTGGGCCCACCCAGCAGCCAGTGGAGCTACCAATTCCTTACGGGCACAGGTGGGGGAGCGAAAGGGCCCCGCCGCCGTTTCTGGCCGCCTTCGCGTCCTCACCCGCGCTGCAAAACCTGCGCGAAGAGCCCCTCGCTCCTCACAACCTTCCACATGAGAGGAGCGCGCAGCCGGCAAGCGGCGACATTGCCAGGCCCGGCCACTTACCGCTGCACAAGTTCTCCCGACCTAAGCCGAGCCACCGCGCTCGTCTCAGTCACGGGCGCATCCCTAGTGCGTCATCCGGGCGGGCCGCGGCGATTACGGTTGCCTCGGCCGCCAGGTTTCTTGAGGGCGGTAGAACGGAAAGAGAGGAGAGGAGGGGCCACGCAAGCGCGGCCAGCATGACCAGAAGAACGGTTTTCTCCAACCTGGTGCCCTCCCCATGAGTTAGTTTACAATTTTTCTGGGGGATAATAGCAGCGGTAGTCCAACACCATCGGAAAGCTACCGGTTGGAGAAGCCTGCCATGGTGGTGGAATTGTCAGAGTGCTGGAGAGCTACGGATACTAGTTCTCTTCGGCTATGAAACTTCATTAGATAATTTCGGGCGGGTCGCTGTCTACTTCATAGGATTGGTGTGAATACAATGGAGAGGAAAAGAACCATGCAAGCCGCCCTGGGTTCTTGTAGAATGGGAAAAGGGCAGGATATAAATACAATCATGAATAAAATTGAGATTAAAGGAGAGAACAAGCTAGGCTAGAGCGATACTAGCAGGCTGGCAGCTACTGCCGTTGCTCTGCAGAGATGCCGATGGAGCGCGACCGTGTGCGCCTCCGGTGGCTGGCAAATGGAGCCCAGCAGGATATCGCAGAGATAGCAGTCGAAGATAGGACAAATCATGCGCTCTTGATCCGCGCAGGACAGCTTTCAATCTTAGGTCAGCAGCGTGGGGCTTATGCTAGTTTAAGAGTTTCTTCGCTCCCGCCTCCTGGCCGATTCCGGACTTGACTTGTTGCATCGAAGCTCAAGAAAGCGTCACAATCCCTACACACCCACTCCAAGAAGCATGCTTCGCTTTAAAGTATTCACATAGAGGGAACCAAGGCCTGATGGGAATTGCAACAATGGAAAGACCTGACATTGCCCTGCCCTGATTTCAAGTTCCAGACTGCGCTTGAAGGATCTTAGTATCCCTCCCACCTGCTGAGGGCGCTGTGACTCTACTTTAAGAACAGCGGCGGGCATTGAGGTGGCCTGCCTAGAGAGGACATGAGAGCACAGCTCCGTTTCCGGCGGCGCCATTTTGCCGTGAGACAGCAGCAGGAGGAGATCTCTGTAGTTACGATGCTATCGGCTGCCGGCTATGTCGAGCCCGCTCTTGGGCTGGGTTGTGAAGTTAAACGGGGCTCTGCCGTTCAGCACCGCTTCTCTCCTTACACCTTCAATGGCGGGTAAGGGCCGTCTGCGTGCGAGCTGCTTTCTTTCCTGTTCTTTGCAGCTTGAACATTTCTGTTGCTCCTGCTGCCTTCTGCTATCATGGGAGTTTCTGTTTCTCTCTCACTGTGGCGCACACGCAGTAGAAATGAGCATTCTGCTTTTCCTTCGAGGCTTTTATTTAAGATGCTTAAGTTCCTCGAGAACCTACTTGTAATTTTAAAAAGTGAATTAAAGTGGCTGCAGTAGCTCCAAGAACTTACAAAATAATAATAAGAATGATAATAATAGCAGCAGCAATGGGACAGAGCATCAGAACATATCAGTTTAAAATGGGTTATTAAATTGGGTTAATTGCAATATAGAGCTGAACATACTGGCATCCATTTACACCATTTTGGACTACCTGAAGTTCCCAGACTGCTTGAATTTTCCAAAACCAGGTAGCTATACAGTTAATGAGGACTGTTAGATAAAATCACAGAATGCTAGTATTTTGTCAACTGCACTGACTGCCAGATTGTTTCCTGACCCAATACAGCTTGAGGTCAGGTTACCAGAAGATAACCTACTGTATCCATCTACCTGGTCCTTAAGATCATCATCCGTTTTCTCCTGCTGTCCTCACCCAGTGAGGAAAAACAGATGATTACAGGAGAGAGGGCTTTGTCAGTGGCAACCCTCCACAGAACAGTTTCCTGGATTCTACATTATGATTGTTTTTACTTGAGCTGAAGATCTCTTTACTTTCCTTGGCATTTGAGATTGTTATAATGCCTTAAGATCTTGTGCTACTGGTGATTATATCTTACTTTATTTTACTTGCTTTATTGTCATGCTTCCATCGTTACCCCATATGTGTGTGTGTGTGTGTGTGTATGGTTCAGCTCATTTTAAATGCCCTTTGGCTATTAGGCAGCTTTAAAATGTAATAAGGAGCGAAAATATCATAAAATACCTTGCGTTAAACTAAAACATTGTGACCTAAAACATCCAGAGGGCTGCACTGGCTGGGGCTTATGAAGTTGTAATCGAGGAGATCTCAAATGGCTATGCCTACTCTAGCTTTATTAGAGCAATCCACATAATAAAGATAAAACCTGTAATGCATGCTTGCTGGATTTCTAGTCTGGGTTCTAGAGCCAAATTAAATTAATTAATGCTGAACATATTTAGAAATGTTGTCTTTGTTGCTTCTGTTTTTAAGGACTATATTGGCAATTGCTGGTGACGATTTCTGTATTGTTGCCTCAGACACCCGGCTGAGTGAAGACTATGCAGTTCATAGCCGGGACAGTCCAAAATGCTACAAGCTGTAAGTCTGGGAAAAAAGTACAATTGTGCAATCACATTGGTTCTGGTAGTTTATAAGCTTGATTTCTTATCAGCTTAAATGCATCTCTAAATGTATCTCTTTTTTATGAACTGTTAACCAGAATAATGTTAGCTGAACTACAATGCAATAGTAAAGAACTTTGCCTATCCTTGATATCTATATAGACATAATACGAGCTCTGTCTACTTCAGATATGGCAATATTCTTTGCTCATGGGTCTTGGTGTGACTGCTTCTGGTTGAAAACCAGCTTAATTAGCGAGGGTTGGGAGAGTCGTTGTGGCACGATGATTAGATTGTTGGATTGGGGACCCAGGAGATCCAGGTTCTAGTCCCCACTTAACTATGATACCCACTGGGTGTGGTTGGGCCAGCCACTCACTCTCAGACTAATCTACCTCATGACGTTGTTGATGTGAGGATATAATGGAGTGGAAGAGAACCTACTTGGGTTCCTATAGACCACTTGGACAAAAGTTTCTATATAAGAAAGTGCAACATTGTGTTATGTCAAGGTTATGTAATCACCTCAATGTTACATTTGTACAGAACTGACACAACAGTTATTGGCTGCAGTGGATTTCATGGAGACTGTCTTACACTTACTAAAATCCTTGAAGCAAGGTTAAAGGTAGATGATTATTATGTTTGTTTCTAAAAGAAGGTGGACAAATATTAGCAAGATCAGTAAAGAACGCAGTAGCTTAAATCTGTTGGTTGAATCTAGTGCTATCATTCTGCTGTAACAAAGCTTATATCAATTGTGGAAATTTTATTTATTAAAAACTTTTATATGCCATCACCATATGCCTCAGCCATTACCATCCTTGTGCGAAAAGTCATACCCGATATTACGATTCCATTTGTGTTCCCCAAGCACTTTTACATGACATTATGTCCTTACAGTGTGTTGTTTTGTACTGGTTACATTAGTTCTTCCAGTGTTGGCTTGGTTACTAACAGAACCCATAACAACTAGCAGAAGCATACCGCATCTTTTACTTTTTCTGTTAGTGTTACATTGGATGCAGCCAAAGAGCTGGGTTGGCATGCTGACAAAAAGCATAGATTCTCCACACAGTTGCTTTACCATAATACTGGTAGCTTCTAAAGGAAATTAGCTGTGGTGGATTGGGTTGTTTGTTCTGTCCACATACTTCTGGAGTTGTATGGCAACTGGAAATTTATTTTAAAATTGCCTGATAGCAGCTATTTTAAAAGCTTCTGTTAGTTTGTGTATGGGAGCTGAATTTGTAAGCAAAATATGCAGTCTAGTGCCAGCATAACATTGAGCTTGAGGAGCAATGTTTGAATTACTCTTCTAATCTCTTTCCCTCATAAAAATACCATCAGCTAACTACCAAAGCAATACTGTGGTTCCTGGTCTGTTTATAGAAAGCCATAGTACTGTCTGGATTTCTAGTTCCAAGGTTGCACAAGAGTGCCAGCCATGGATCAGAAGGATTTTCACTCAGGTTCATCTTCTCCTCATAGCCAGCATGGAAGGAATGGCAGCAGCTACTTCTCCAAGGTTGGAAAAGTGACCTTGGCAAAGGGGTTGGAGGGAGGGAAGGAAAGAAACACCACCCAGATGCAGTGTACCCTGCTTTTGCCTGAGCTTCCTCCCCTCTGAAGTGCTGCAGACAGCCATAATTGAAAGTGAAAGGAATGCCAAGGTGATTTTTCCTGCTCTGCATAGGATGCCCAGAATCTTCCTAAGTTTGTAGGGATATGAGGAGCCCATTGCATTGCACCCTAAATTAAATTTTCTTGGACTGATGGTATGGCCGGCTCTCTTGTTCCAGCTCTCTTATTCTTGACTGATACAGCACTTGCTGTACAGCTTATTTCAGTGATGCATTTGGCATGACTTTTTTCCTTGCTTCTATAACAACTCTTGTTTGGTTCCAGATGTACAAGCATTCCAATAACAAGACAATGAGTTCAGGTGCCATTGCAGCCATGCTTTCTACAATCTTATATTCACGTCGCTTCTTCCCTTACTATGTTTACAACATAATTGGTGGACTGGACGAAGAAGGTAAAGACCAATGTATACTCATGCCTGAGGAAAACAACTCCTTTGTTGGGGGTGGATGGTAGCTTTTGGCTGGGAAAGAAAACACTTCATCCAAAGGAGGTCCCATAGCTTAGTGGTGGAGGACATGCTTTACATGCAGACAGTTCCCACTATCTGTAGGTAGGGCTAGGAAAGAATCTTGCCTGTAACCTGAGATAGCTGCTGTCAGTCAGTGTAGGCAGCTACACAGAGTAATGGTCTCATTATAAGGCAGCATCCTATGTTCCTGAACATGGCAACCTTATATTAAATGGCTGCTATATGGCATTGACTATCTCCCAGTACTTGTATGGGAAATATATTATTAAACTACTGGTAAGTTGTCCATTTAAAACAGTCTAGCTGACTGTTTAGAAGATACAGGAATCTTCATAATTACATGAAGTAGTTGGATGTTTTTAATTCATTCTTTTGGAATGTGTTGATTCTCATCCACTTTTAATGTACTAGGGTGATTCTAGTTACCCCTTTTTATTTGTCTATTTCACCATTTTCCTTAACCCCAGCTAAGACCTAGTCTTCTTGTGCTTCAAGGAAGAATAAGCGCATGTAAAGTGACCGCACTGTTAGAACTTGTCTGAGCTTAGCTTTCCTGTTGCAGTAGAGGACCCAAATGTCTGCTTTTTTCACTCCTCAAGGGAAGGGTGCTGTCTACAGCTTTGATCCAGTAGGCTCCTACCAGAGAGACACTTTCAAAGCTGGTGGATCAGCCAGTGCCATGCTCCAGCCTCTGCTGGACAACCAGGTGAGAGTTCTGCTATGACTGTGTGGTTAGTGGCACATCAGTGTATAATCATTTGTTCCTGAAATGCCTGAAGAAAATTTTGTTTTATTTATTTACAAAACTTAGAACCTTAAATCTAAAAAAGATTGCCAAGTAGTGAACAAGCATCAAAATACAGAAGAATAAAAATATTTTAAACCAACTTATATCAATACCACAGTAATTATTGTACCATATAATACAATCATTCAGGAAGAGCTGGTTATTTATCAAATAGATGTAGACATAAATGTACCTCAGGTCCATGTGACACCAGCACACGTGTCTCATCCAGTGGCATCAGTGACCAGCAGGCTGATAAGGCTGAAGGTATTCCCGTATTTTGTATGCTATGCTTGGCCTCTGTGTTTGGCATTCAGCTGCTTTTTCTTAATACAAATATTAAGAGTGGAAAACAAACATTTAGCAACTCACTTTCTGAATTGAGTATACCCAGAAGAATGGACTTGTAAGTGGTCACTTGATTGGTTGCCTGTGGCGATGAAGAATTAATTGGCTGGAGAAGCTCAGATATGGTAGCTTTATATTAGTTGGTTCCTTTTGCTTCTTAGCCCGCTGATGACTAATCGAGGAATTGCGTGAACTGCTAGGCTGGCAAACACTTTTGTGGACTTGCTTGCTAAGGTGTGTGACTTCCCAAAGGGGTTCTGATTCTACTGCAGAGAGTTCTGCAGTAGAACAAGCATGTTCACCCACTGGAAGGCATCCAAGTCAGAGTGCCTTGCTACTTTTAAGTAGAAGCCACAGTTCATTGGCTGTTCTTGTGTTCTCCTCTCCCGTCCCTGCCTAGTCAGAGTCAAGGCTCTTGGCTCCCCACAGCTTCCTCCAGTAGCCCAGATCTTAACAACCAGATCACCACTAAAGCAAAGAACAAGGCAAAGCTAGAGAGATTCTGCATAGAATGAGCAGTTATTGCAAAGGGAGAGAGGGAGGCAAAAAGCAGCATGTGAGGGGATTGGGGGCTGCTAATGGCTTTTGCTATGAAGAAGACTATTCTGAGTTCCATTCCTGCTTATGCTCCCTGTTAGAATTTTGTTAATTCAAAGTTAGGTACAACTTGTCGGCCTTTGAAAGTGTTTCCAAGTGGCATTCAACTTATGGCTACATTTATCACTTGTTTTACTTGAACATGTAAAGTGCTACAATCTCATCATCACTTGTCATTAATCGTTGCAATTCATTTCCTGCGATCAAAATTTAGTATGTTATTCAGCAGTGGAAGCCAAATTGGGTATATTAATGGTACCTGTGCTTTTCTTCTCACGTCCAGCATCCAGATTAATGTAGTGATAGCACACCAATGAGAGTCAAGGTCTCTTTTTTGTATGTTTTGGATTTGAGGGGCACAACCCAGCCAGATACCTGCTTAATTTATACAAGCATGAAAACATAGTTCCAGTAGTTTTTATTCTAACAAATGAAGTGACAAGCTGAAAGTTGATTAATATGTCTTTCTTTCTGAAGGTTGGTCTCAAGAACCTGCAAAATGTGGGACAAGTATCTTTGACCTTGGAAAAGTCTTTGCAGCTAGTAAAGGATGTCTTTATTTCTGCTGCAGAAAGGGATGTATACACTGGGGATGCACTAAAAATCTGTGTTATCACAAAAGATGGAATTAAAGAAGAATCTGTTCCCTTGCGGAGAGACTAAATCGGTACACTGTTCAGTTAAAGATCTTCAGTGTTTCACTGTAATTTTTATGTTTACTACATGATAACATTTGATATATTAAAATAAGTACCAGAGTTGCTTGGTTCATCATTAATATTGTACTGCTTGTGACATCAGTGAGATTTGAGTTGTATGGAAAAAGTTCAGTGGCAAGATGTCATGTATTAAATGGCACAATATCTAATGGAATATCTTAAAAATCATAATACTGGCTCAGCCTACACTACAAATTAAGCCACTGCTGTCTTAATACTTTGGGCAATATCCAGTGTGACACTGTGCTAGTATAAACTGTCTCCATCACAAAACATACAGCGCTTGCTGGTGCAGGGGGTTTTCCAGTGGACCAGTAATGCCTCCCCTTTGTATTTACAAAGTGACAAACAATATCACTAATTGCTTAAGAACCTGGCATCTATGGAGTGAATAGTCATGAACATTTACTGCACAGGGACGTAAGATTGGGAAGCTGATTAGTGGTACTTCACAGTCTCCTCTGTTTTCCGGAATGGTAGTTGAGAGGCCAACCTGAGCATGACATTAAAGGTGCAGTCCTTTTCATGCTTACACAGAAATATGTCTTTGCATATTTAATAGATTTTCACACACATGCAAAAAGTATGAAATGGAGAATATGCAATTCTTGGCATGTGGGGGCCCCCTCTCAAATGCAAGTTGTTATTAGGTGCCGTTGTCTCTGACTTATGGTGACTTACTGAATGAAAGCTCTTCAAAAATGTCCTGACCATGATGGCCCTGCTCAGCTTTTCTAATCTCAAGCCTGTGGATTCCTTTATGGAATCAGTCCAGCTCATATTGCTCTTCCTTTTCTTCTGCTGCCTTTGACTTTCCCTAGTATGATTGTCTTCTCCAGTGAGTCTTGCGTGCTCATGGTGTATCAAAAGTATGACTGCCTCAGATTTGCCATTTTTGCTTTGAGGGAAAGCACTGGCTTGATTCGATCTGGGACCCACTTGTTTGTCTTTCTGTTGGGCCAGGGTATTTGATGATATTATTTATTCAACTTATATTCTGCTATAACTAGTCCAAAGACTGTAAGCAGATGTCAACAATATTACATAAAATAACATCAAATTTTAAAACACATAACAGCAACATACAATAAAACAGAATACACAGCCAATGGGTCAGGTATCAATAAGTTAAAATATATTAAGGCTAAAATAACATCCTAATATAAATCCAATTGTTAAAATGCCTGGAGGATGACTGTTTGGAAGGACTTTACAAGAGATTTTAAAGATGGCAGCAGGCAAACTACTTTAAGAAGGCCATTCCATAAATGGAGCGCAGCCACCGAGAAGGCCCCTCTTCTATTCACCATCCACTTCCTTAAAGGATGGTTCCCTCAGAAGGGCCTCCTCACCAGATCTTAGGGACCAGGTAGGTATCTATGGGAGCAGGTGGTCCTTCAGGTAGCCTGGTCCCAAGCTATTTAGGGCTTTATATGTTAGCACAAGCACCTTAAATTGGGCTTGGAGCTCAACTGGTAACCAGTATAAGCCATATAATATTGGGGTGCTATGGGCACATGAACTTGCTTGTACCAGCAGTCGCCTTCCCTATTCTTTACCTCATATAGCACCATGTTTTCATTCTTCCTTATCCTAATTCAGCTTTCCTCATACAAATGCAAGTAGCACCTGCAAAGGGAGGGATTTTCCCCAGGATTGCATTAGGAAATGAAAAATTGAAATTCCTACAACTAATGCATTTTTTAAATGGCCAGGTTAAATGCAAAGGCATTTTCGATAGCTAGTTTGACCCTTGGGCAGTATCCGATACGACCACTGTGCCTCCTTAGTTCAATTGTATCTGAGGGACTCACTGCTAGACCAAGAATCAGCATTTCCTACTACAACCCAAGAAATGTGCAGAAATCAGCATTTCTTTTCCTGGTTCTGGAACTGCTGGATTCCTTTTGGATAGTACTCAGCCCTGCTTGTGCACACAAAAGGGCAGTTTCTAATATATCTTTAAGATCTCTATGTATTTAGTATCCATATAATGTCCTTAAAGAGGCTGGCTCCCTATATGTTTTCATGATGGTCTGGAACTTGAAGTTGGGAAGGTAAACTGAAATTTGGAGCAACCATTTTGGGTGTTGGTCAAACCTTAGTTCCTAATTGCACAGAACAAATATTTAAGTGGTAAGATAGTAGCTTTCAGAAGCAATGTTCTTGCTTTATAACAAAAAATGTATTGACAAGATCCATTTTTGGTAAACTCTGGTCAAACATGCATATAAAGATTTTGGTGGAATTCATTTTCCATTGAATGCTACAAGTGAACAAAATAGGCGTGCCTGCTTTTATAGCCCAAAGGGGGATAGAATAATTTATTTTGTAGCAGGTGAAAAGGGGGGCAATGGCTGCCCCTGCTTCAAAGGGGTGATTCTGTCATAGTAAGGGAAACCAGAAACAAAGCCCAATGTAAGATACTTAAATTGAAGCTTAGTAGTACTAGGAGTTTTTTTAAGGCTGTATATAAATTCCTAGCTGCTATTTCACTTTTGTCTGGAATGGCTAAAGTGTGCCTATTTCTCAGGACAAGTGTCAGGACCAAATTAGTGCGAACGTTACTGTGCAGTAGCCTGTCTGATGTCCATTTTGTAAGAGACTGCAGATTCTTGTGGACACAATTTGTGATTGAGAAGACAGTAGGCTGTCCATAGCTTCTTGAATATTGATAAATTACAAATACCTTTCGCAGTCCCATTTTTATAGAATTTATCTGTACTGAAGGACTCTTGTTAATGACAAGACCTTTAACAACAGCGGAGTCTACAAAAGCTCTGGTCTTGTTGGCCACCAGGTGGCATTATTGGTCCTTTGCAATGATAAAGTCCTTTTCCAGTCAAGGATCTGTGGTTAAGAGAAACAGATCTATCCTATTGGACAGCTGTTTGGAAAGGGAATAAAACCCCCAGGTAGAAGAAATACTAGTTCAGAAAAGATTTCAACTCCTAACATTCCACTGAGAAAGACTTCATTTACATTTATTTATTTTATTTAATATTTAAAGAAATTTACATTTATTTTATTTGTCTATACCATCATTATATTCAAGACAGTTTACAGAAAGGTTAAAATGTCAAAACAATTAAAAAACCAAAGTCCCAGTACTTGATATTAAAATATAACAATTAAAATGTATTACCTAACAACTGGGTAAATAAAAAGTTTTGGACCTGGTGCTGGAATGAATAAAGTGTTGGCACCAGGCAAACTTAGCTGAGGAACAAGTTCCATAATCAGGGCTCTATAGCAGAAAAGGTCCTTCTCATGATAGCCCTCCTTGTCTCTTTCAAGGAGAGCTCTTGGAGAAGAACCTCCACAGATAACCTTAAGGTCCAGGCAAGCCTGTAAGGAAGAAGACGTTCCTTTAGATATCCAGCTCCTAAATCATGTAGGGCTTTATATGTCATCATCAGCACTTTAAATTGGACCTGGACTTTAACTGGTAGCCAATGTGACTGGTTTAAGACTGGTGTAATATGTTCTCATCTACCAGTCCCAGGCACCAGTTGCAGTGTCTGGACCATGAAATGTATAAAGAATGAAATGTAAATGGAGACTTGACATTCTTTACTGAATCTTAAACTGCCTATCAAAGCCTAGTCTACCAGGGAAGCCAACTCAGCCCAAGCTGGGAAATCTGCCTGTTTGCTCAGGGCCTCTCCAACTCATTGCCTGCATTTCTAAAGGAGAATCCTTGCGTCTGCAGAAGGCTGATGTGTAGAAATATTGGAGCAGGGTGGGGAATGGGACAGGATAAAGCAATGCTGGATTAATCAGTTTGGCAGTAGAAATGTATAGAGAAGATTTAGTGCTAGGGATTTAAAGCCTGAGGAATAATCCTGTACTTTCACCTTCTAGAATCATTATGTGGTTGTTTCACTGCATAACCAGCTTGTTCAGCCTTCAAGGCACAAAGGTACTGGAAATTGAGTAACAACATGGTAAATGTGGATGGAGCTGTGACTATGATGGAGCAATCCCTTGGCAGTTTCGCTATATAGCAACCTGTGCACTAGCCTACCTTCTCCATGGGCAATCGTAGTGGAAATGGTCCTTTCTGGTAATCTGCTGGAATGTTCAGAGCCCATCAGCTAGAAAGGCATAACTGATCTACTGATGTGATGGACGGCTTTAGGAATCAGGGGCTTATGACTCATTGGTTTATCTGCTCTGATGCCCTGTAAGGCTATGACTTGGCCTAGAATACTGACAGCCCTCGTGTGAAGTCTGAGGCGGGCTACATATGGCCTTCTAGACTTTTTGGTGACAATTCCCATCAGTCCCAACCAGCACAGCTTGTGGTGGGAATTGTAGGCCAAAACATCTGGAGGGCCACAAGCAGCTTTCCCCAGTGCTGAGTGAGTCTTGGGAGACATTGAGACAGTGTGGTTCAGTGGCTAGTCTATACTAGTCTGTACAACTGAGACCAGGGAGATCCAGTTTCAGTTCCCCGTGTAGCCACTAGACTTGCATTGGGCCAGATTATCTCTCCTTATTTACCTTACAGGATTGCTTTGAGGCTAAGATGAAGAGGTATGAATAATGTCTAACACAGTGAACTTCTTGGAAGTAAAACAGAAGAAGGTAATAAGAATAAACTTTAGTTCAATTGTATAAATACTGCCCAGACAGCAAGAATTTGTGGCCAATATGCACCACTAATTTACAATGCAAAAAGAGACACATTACTTACTGTCTTACAGCATACATGAGAATTACATATTTCTTCCAGCATTCCACTTCTGCAATTTACAAAAAAAATGGCTAAAGCAAACAGCTTCTTAAATAAATTAAAGTAATAATGTAGCAGTTGTGCCAATTTGGTTTTACCAATTTAATATTCTATGTGTCTACATATCATACTATATAGCAAGAAGATTATAACCATAACAATTTGCTGCTGTCATAAAGCTTTAAATAGGACTAGCTCTATCACCTGGTAACTCATTTCCTCAAACACTCCTAGGTTACTGTGGCTGTCAAACAGAGCTAATAGCATCTGAATGCTGTAAACCTAAGCAGTTAGCCCTTTC